ACCCTCAGAACGTTCTCGGGGTCCCTGTGTGCCCCCTCCCTTCTGGGAAGGGTGATGCACCTGCCAGAAAGAAACCTGACTCCCCGCATTGTGCTGTAAAAATAGCTCTCGTTATTCCTCCTCTGAAGGTTATTTTCAAGCTCTTTATAACTGGGTTTTAATTTATTATTACTTTTTTAATGCGAAGAGAAGGGATCAGATTCCCTGACTTTCTTTCTCAGGGAAACTCAGGTTTCCAACTTTTGGGCGGGTTTCTACTTCTTCTCCAATATCGGGGCCCTCTGTTCCCTCGAAATGCTGCTGTTTCATCTAAAATCCATTTTAAAATAAATGTGGGTTTCACCTGGCAGGCCCTCATGCCACAAAGTCAGGCACTTCTTGAAGTGGCATTTGACACCACAGCTCATGGTTAGTTGAGAACTAGGAAGGAGTGACTCCTGCAACCTGTGGCTCCTGGGTCCCCTGGCCATGTCCAGGGGGAGTGAGGCCACCTCCCAGCCTCTCACACCTTTCTGGGTTGTCTCTTAGCTCCCCTCCCTGCTGTGGCCGTTCTGCTGACCCCGTGGCCTGAGATACTGCCAGGCCTACACATTGCAGACCAAGGACTGAGGCTCCGATGGAGCGGACATGAAGCTTCCATCCCAGAACAAGCCTGTGAGCCAGGAAAGTGTCCTCCAGAGGAAGCCAGCCCGCAGTCAGTCTTGCATGAGGAGCCCCAGGCACCCCCTGGGCTCCGGTCAGTCTAGCTCGCTGGCTGACCTCTGGCACTGTGCCCAGAGCGACCTTGCCCATGCACTTGATCCTGGTTGTTTCTTGAGATGCTGGTTTAGCAACAGATTGAAAGTGGATGCTCAGCCCCTCAGCAGTGACTCAGGACCTCGTCCCACGCCCTTCCCTCCTTGGGGAGGTGGGAACCGTCCAGCTGCAGGAGTGGCTGGCCGAGGGGCAGGGGCAGGTCTAATCTGTCCAAATCGGGGTTCCTCGGCATGATTCCCCCCTCCAGTGCAGCCGGGTCAATCTCTCTCTAATGCAGCGGTTCTCAACCTGTGGGTCGCGACCCCTTTGGCGGTCGAACGACTGTTTCACAGGGGTCGCCTAAGACCATCCTGCATATCAGATATTTACATGACGATTCATAACAGTAGCAACATTACAGTTATGAAGTAGCAACGAAAATAATTTTATGGTTGGGTCACAACATGAGGAGCTGTATTTAAAGGGCCAGAAGGTTGAGAACCACTGCTACAGTGAACACGGGGGTGCTCATAGCTCTTCGAGATCCTGAGGTCAGTTCTTTCTGATGAATACCCAGAGGCGGGCTTGCTGGGTGGTATGGCAATTCCATGTAATTTCTGAAGGAACCTCCATGCTGTTTTCATTTTGCATTCGCATCAGCAGTGGACTGCAAAGGTTCCCAGTTCAATGTCCTCACTTTCCTGCGTGGAGAAGCCGGGGGCCTTGTCACTCCCCCCCTCCCCTGCCCCCCGCCCCTCTTGGAGCACAGCCCTCCCTCCCTGTCTAGGGAAACCCTACTCTCTCCATGCACACTGCTTTTTCATCATCTCAGCCTCCTCTTCTTCCTGGTTCTTATTCCAGTCAGTATCCTCCCTATTTTTTTGATGCAAAATTCAGCCTGCCTTTGCCATGTAATGCAAGCTGACTTTGTGCGTGGCTCGATGCTAAGTGCTTTACGTGATCAATCTCATTTAATCTCCACATCATTCCTCTGATGGCGAGGCACTTTGCAATCTCTATTTGACAGAGCAATGCGTCCTAGTGAGATGTAGCAATTTATCCAGCGTATACTTTGGAGCAGGGGTTTGAATGGAGCGTTTTAGTCACCCAGGTCCCTAGTGTTTATCTTAAATTTCTATTTTCCTACAGATGTCTTCCCAGTTCTCCGAGAATGAGGACTATCTCTTTGACTTTGCTGTATCCTCCACAGTACTGGGCATGCAATACATGCTCAATAAACATGTGCTTAATCAATAAATATGTTTAATTGGTGAGTAGAGCTAGGTTTTTAATCCCAGGCATCTGAACACAGCCCTGCACGCAAAGTTTCAAAGATGCATGAATTGTACAAATGCTACAAATGTTGATTCCATCAATAACCACTAACCTATGTCTCCTTATAAAGCATCTATCTTTATGTTTATATGACTTGGTCCTTATCTATCTTTATGCAGTATAACATATCATGCCTTATAAAGCATTTTCACACAATTAGATTCTAAGAGATTACAAAACCATACTTTGTAATGCAGGGCTGTGTTCAGATGCCTAGAGAGTGTATTTTATGAAAAGCAGGAGAATAAGGGTGATGTCACCAGGTTGGTTAAATCGAGGGGAAGAGGAAGACCACTGAGCTATCTCAGTGTGGGGAGTGGACAGGGTGGTTTTCAGGCGTGACCCTCCACAAGGACCGGTCCAGCTGTGCACAGCTGCCCCGACTTCGGAGAGGGAATCTTGGCCATGGGCTCTGGGTGAAATGGCCCTTGCAGGGCTTGGAGCACAGGGGTGACATGTCCTAAAATGATGAAAGGACTCACTGTGACTGCTCAGTTGTGAATAGACCGAGGGGTTGACGTGTCACGGTGAAGCCCCATCACTTCCTGCCCGGACCACAGCGACAGCTTTGACCACATCGCCCGCTTTTCTCCACGGGGGCAACCTTCTCCTGGCTCCAGTGTCCTCCCTCTGCCGTAGACCACGATTCCAAAACGCAGGCCAGGTCATGCCACTCCTCAGAACAAAATCCGCACGCTGGGCGTGGCATTCGAGGTCCCGGGATCGGGCCTCCACCTGTCCCTCCAGCCTCGCCTCCACTGCTTTCTGTCCCTCTCACACCCTCCCATGCCTGTGCTCATCCTCCCCCTTTCTGTCCAGGAAAAGCCTCTGTTGTCAAGTCCCGTCTTCTCCTGAAAGTCTCTGCAGCATCTCCAAGTCAGGACGAGTCTCCCGAGCACGGCCACAGCGAGGGCACGGTGCCTGGAGCACGCTGCTCCTCCAGTTCTGGTGGCCGTACTCAGTGCCACCCACGTGGTTCGCTCCGTGTGTCCATCTTTGTGTCCCCTGATCCCTCCGTGCCGTCCAAAAAGCCCGCCTCAGCCTCTGACACGGTTCCCCTTAGCCACAGTTTGCTTCTGCCTTGCAGATTGAAGCGCTAGTGAAGGACATGCAGAGCCCGGAGACGGGGGTCCGAATGCAGAACCAGAAGATCCTGGTCACCAGCATCCCTCACGCCATGACAGGTAACCCGTCCTGTGACGTAGTCTTGTCCTGGAACAGACCACACAGGGGGGCTGGCGAACTACAGCCCGTGGTCACATTTGGCTCGAGGCCTGTATTTGTAAATAAAGTTTTATTGGAACACGTCCACATCCCCACTTATGTATTGTCTTTGGCTGCTTTGATACGACCATGTAAATAGCTGTGCAGAGAGACGGTATCACGGCCCACAAAACTGAAAATATTTAACCTCTAGCCCAGTGATGGCGGACCTAGACACGTGTATCAGAGGTGACACGCGAACTCATTTTTTTGGTTGATTTTTCTTGTTAAATGGCATTTAAATATATAAAGTAAATATCAAAAATATGTCTTTGTTTTACTATGGTTGCAAAGATAAAAAAATTTCTATATGTGACACGGCACCAGAGTTAAGTTAGGGTTTTTCAAAATGCTGACACGCCGAGCTCAAAAGGTTCGCCATCACTGCTCTAGCCCTTTCCAGAATACATTCGCTGACTGCTTTGCCCCAGGCCCCTTCTGCAGAGGGGGTCGGAAGGGAAGGAGAAAAGGACTCAAAAGGTCACTTTGTGAAGCCATCCACTCAGGAGGTCATTTAAAAACAATGTTTACTGTGACTTTTTGTTTGTTTGCCTTGTTTGTTTTAATGAAATCAGGTAGCAGAAAATAACTATTTGGCGTTAAAAAAAACCTGGCCTTTGTTCTACCCTCCCCTACCTTCTAATTTGTATTCAGACCCTTCTTAACTACCCTGAGGGGATGGCGCCCTTGTGTCCTTTTTCTGGGTGTGGGATAAAGGGGTGCAGAGTATCCTTTGAGGATTTGGGCAGAAAGAGCTGAACCCCAAAGTAAGAATGCATTTTGATACATGTGTGGCATATGCTTTATGCTTGGGGTTGCAGTGGAGGGCATGTTTCCTACGGAGGCATATTGGCTGCAGAAGCAGACAGCTTCCCGCAGCACCATCTGGGGCCTCGCCCTGTGCTGAGCTCCCCATGAGCCCTCACTCGCCCCCCCCCAGCCCCCACCCACGACCTGACTATTAATTTCTCATCAAGTGCCCTCGCCTTTGCAGAGGCAAGCTGGCTCCCAGCCTCCTGATTCCCTGTCTGACAGCCTGGAAGACGGGTTCCCCCACCAGCCATGTGCCACTCAGGGTTCCCTGAGTGCAAGCAACAGAAGACCCACCCTGGCTATTTGGAGCAAAGGAGGAATTGATTGGAATGTGACAGGGCAGCTCGCATAAGAAAGGGAAACGGATGAGCCAGACTCGGGAAAGGCTAGGAACCCGAGCAGCCTGGGCACCCAAAGAGCAGGGATCAAAGGGCAGACTTTCCAGGGTGCCTCTGGCCTCCCCCAGCAGTTAAGATGCAGCCGTGGCAGTTCTCCCCACCCTGGTTGTCACTGGTTTTGGCCTAAATTCTCCACTGGATTTGGAAGCCCTCAAGGGGCAGAATCTCCTCTTGCTCATCTGGGTAACCCCAGTGCTTAGCAGAGCTGTGGGGCAGGGGAGAGATCTACTACAAGTCCATTGAATGAGTGAACCAGCCCTGGTCTAGCACTTGACATTGAGTCAGGCTCCCCGGGATTGAATCCGCTGGGTGCCTTTTCTAGTGATGTAGCCCGAACCTCAATGTTCTCATTTTAGAAGCAGGCGTGGCAATTCCTGTCTAAGAGAATGAGCGCAGGAAGTACTAGTAAAGGAGATAGTACCGTGCCTGTGGCCAGCACACAGCGGATGCTGGAGGAGTGGCAATAGCTCACAATTTCCCACACTGTGTCAGTTGATATACACCGTAAAGTTAGGGAAAGATGCAATCATCCCCATGTTGCAGAGGGGGCCCTGGAGACGCAAAGAGGTCGAGCAACTTGTCCCCATGTCACTCGACTCCTACGTTGGCCGAGCTTGGACTTGAGCCCAGTGATGTGACTCCAGTGTCCACACTCTTATTCCTATCGGTGTGCATTCACTGCTCCCCTCCCTCGCACATGGGGTTCACCTGGTTCCCGGCTGAGGTGCCCCCTGCCATGCTTCCCCTTGCTCCTCCTGCTGGTGAACCCCAGCGGCTGTTGGAACAGGACACAGGGAAGGCCTTGTCTTGCAGCTGCAGATCAGCACTAATAACCGCTAATTGAGTAATTGGCATCCATCTCCTCGGATGGCAGGTGACCCAGGACTTCTGGGAACGAAGATGACTGATGTAGAAGCCCGCACAGACCACGTGGTACAGATGCCAGTGGCCTGTAATCTCATTTGATTTATTTCAGGAAGCTGTCAAGTGGATGAGAAAACCCTTGGCTCCTCGGTGGAGAGCGCTAATCTGTCTGCTGTCTATTTGGGTCTTTCTCCCTCGGTCTGCATACACTGTGTAGCATTCAGTGAGACTTGGGGTGGAAAGTCTAAAACAGCCAGTCCTCCCCTTGCCCTAGCCCAGTGATGGCGAACCTATGACACGCGTGTCAGAGGTGACACGCGAACTCATGTTTTTGGTTGATTTTTCTTTGTTAAGTGGCATTTAAATATATCAAATAAATATCACAAATATAAGTCTTTGTTTTACTATGGTTGCAAATATCAAAAACTTTCTATATGTGACACGGCACCAGAGTTAAGTTAGGGTTTTTCAAAATGCTGACACGCCGAGCTCAAAAGGTTCGCCATCACTGCCCTAGCCAGTTTGGCTCCGTGGATAAAGCATTAGCCTGCAGACTGAAGGGTCCTGGGTTTGATTCTAGTCGAGGGCACATGCCTGGGTTGCAGGCTCGATCTCCAGTAGGAGGTGTGCAGGAGGCACCTGCTCAATGATTCTCTCTCATCATTGATTTTCTATCTCTCTCCCTCTCTCCCTCTCCTTTCCTCTCTGAAATCACTAAAAATATAAAATAAAAACAGCCAGCCCTCGGATTTTAAATGAAGTTTGCTTTTGCCCAGCCAACCAGGGGCGAATAAAGCTAAGAGTAACAGAGGAGAATCCAGTGAAAGCAATAATGGTGGGCACGTGGGCACTGACAGAGGTAAAGGCTGGCTACTGTGCCCCAGGGTGTGGATGGGGAGGGAAGAGTTACAGGTGGCCCAGCCTCAGCCATGCTGTGGGCAGGTAATTAAGCCCAGAGAGTGTGGGAGTGGAGCATAAAGGCCCTTCCTGGAGGCGCCAAAGGAAGTGCCCCTTCGCCATCTCCGAGGAGGGAAGCCTCCTTTGCAACAGTCCAGCCACAAGGACACAGGCAGCGGGGTCTCGACCCTGATGCTCCTTCGTGGCCTGTTTTGCGGGCCGGCTGCCATGCAGGCCGGGGACCAGCGTGGCCTTTGTAAAGCAGCCTGGGGTTGCTGGAAAGGGAGGTCTATGGCGTTTGCAAGATGGCGTCTGCATTGGGGTGTTCGGTACCAGGACTGCTTGTCTTTCTTCTGCGATGGTGCTGCCCTCCTCCTACAAGGAGCATGAGCTGTGTATGGGGCGAGAGTCCAGGTTGAGTAGGAGGCACACAGCTTCCCTGCGGTCCTGCAGCAGTTCTGGACTTGTTGGTGGAACTTGGCTTGCTTCGGCCCTTAGATAAATCTGAATCCTGGGGGGCTGGGTGGGAGGGGTGCACATTCTCCCCCGACCCTGTCTCTCTCGGCCTCCCCTAGTTTTTTCACACCAGCTTCCACTCTGCACTGTTCCCAGGACTCAGGGCAAGAGTAACAATGGAGCCCACATTCTACTGTCCAAAGCAATAACTCACCCTACAAAGAGTTACTAAAATCTGTCCCATCCTCCTGCTTTGATAAAAGTATCTTCGCGAGGGTTCGAAGTTTCTGACTCTCTCAGAGTTTCCCCCGGGAACTGGGGGGCGTGGGAGAACCAGCCCCCTAGCTCAGCCCACCCCCATTTTTCTTCCCACCCCTGGCTCTGATTTAGCCCACGTGTCCAGGCTCCACCTAGAGCGCCATGGACAGCTTGCCTTGGGTCTGATTATTTTCAGTGCTAAGACCCCGTCTGTTTACTTTCTACTTGAGTCTATGCACAAATCATTGTGAGGTAAGAAAAGAAGGACCACAAGAGAGGTAAAGACTGAGAATGTGTAGGGGAGGGTAAGCGGGAAACCAGGCCAGAGCCAGATCTTGGATGGCCCTGGATTATGGCTGCAGGGTCTGGACTGAACACAGTGCGGGTGGGTGGGTGGGTGGAGGAAGGGAGTCCCTGAAAGTTTTGAGCAGAAGAGGGACGTGATCACAGCTGAGCAGGGAGGAGGCCAGCGGGCGTGTGAGGAGGCTCTGATGACGGCCTGATATTTCTGTTTTGCAGGAAGTGATGTTCTGCAATGGCTCGTCCAGAGGCTCTGGATCTCCAGTCTGGGTGAGAGCTCACCTGGCCCTGGGTGACCGAGGATTGCTGTGCGTGGAGCCCGCGAGAACCTCCGCAGGCTGAGACTGCACGGAGGCTTAGCCCGGGGCTCTGAGAAATTGACATTTTAATTGAACAGACAAGGCCTTCATGTGTAAAACAACCAGGATCCAATTGGGGGGACAGAATATTGGCTGGGGGATCCTCCTATTAGCACGTTCCCCAGCTGATACTCTCCCTCCTTGATTGACATGCTGGTTGGAGTTTGGGGTGCTGTGTGTGTGGGCCGGGTAGTGAGCTTCTGCGGGCCCTGCTCTTAACTTCCATGCTTCCGCTGCTTCTCCCCAGAGGCGCAGAACTTGGGCAACTTCATCGTCAAGTATGGCTACATTTACCCCCTGCAAGACCCCAAGAATCTCATTCTCAAGCCGGATGGCAGCCTCTACCGATTCCAGGTGAGTCTTGGCCTGACCTTGGCTATGAATATGGGGTTAATCTTATCTGAAGAGATAGTTGCTTGGCTTCATATCCTCACAGATCAGGACTTTGGAAATAAGTGGAGGGGGCTAAGGACATGGGTTAGACAACATGGCTGGGGCCTTCCTGGGTCGGAGCCCACTGTCTAAGCGACGTTTCTTGGTTTCTTTCGTAGACGCCATATTTCTGGCCGACCCAGCAGTGGCCGGCTGAAGATACAGACTATGGTAACTGCTCTCCTCATGCCTTTGTTAGTGCTTAACGTGTTGCTTGTTTACTTGCTGCATTTTGGTGGCATTTGTCTTGCTGTCATCATGACCTTTCTGTCAGTACACCCCTGTATTGGGAGTGTTCCTGCAGGAAGAGAGCGGGTCTGCTGCGTTCTCTCCACCGGGCTGAGCACAGCAGCCTCATGCACAGAGAGCCTGCAGATGTGGTTTTGAAACACGATGATGGAAAATGTCATTGTTTTCTTCCCCAGCCATCTATCTGACCAAGCGAAATATCAAGAAGAAAGGGGTTTTAGAAGAACACGAAAAGGTACAGAGATACTTTCAAGTAAAGGTTATTATACTTGAGTGGAATATAGTCTTGAGTTGTTCTTTCCCCCCGTTTCCCTCATTGCTACGTTCATATGTATCCTCATCCATCCATCCGTTCATCCATCCATCATCCATCATCTGTCCATCTATCATCCATTCAATCTATCATCCATTCATCATCCATCCATCCATCCATCCATCCATCCATCCTTTATCCATTTATCTATCATCCATTTAGCCATTGTCCATCCATCCATCCCTCCATCCAACCATCCATCCATCCATCTACCCATCATCTGACCATTATCCATCAGAATATTTAGAAGCAGCTCCCTGAAGTTAATTCTTCCCTATGTTGAGCTTCAGTTTCTCATGCTGTAATTTAAGCCCTTGCTATCCCAAAATGATTTGAATTAATATGTATGATAATGCATATTAATTGGTGAACAGGTTTGAATTTGCGTTTGTGATGGGAAAGCAATAGTATAAACTTTTGTTTTAGGCTTGAGGAGTCATATTTCTCTAAAGTCTTGATTTCTGGGCAGACGGCAACAATGCTGCTGTGTTTTACGCATTACAAACATGTTTTTAGAAGCGCCAGCATCATACCAATGTTAGGTCTTATCTTGGTGGATTTGTGATGCTCTGTTGTTGAGTACTGAGTTCCCATGCTCCTCCCCACACTGTATTCCCTTCTTCCTAATCAGATTTGAGATACATATATTATTTAAAAAAAGGCTTTTTGAGAATTTGGTGCTACACCTTGAATGAGCAGCTTGCAAAGCTGGGCGAAGGCCCGTTGACTGGGCCTCGTTGTGGCCAAGCCAGGGGCATGCCCTCGTCGACGTAAGGCTTTCTGCCCACTGCACGTGGCATATGTCACGGGCCTCAGTGTTCTCACTGTGTTTTCCTTCCCTAGGAAAACTACGATTTCTTGAACAAAAAAATCAACTACAAGTGGGACTTTGTCATTATGCAGGCCAAAGAGCAGTACAGGTGAGTGAAAGGTCCTGGTCATCCCTGGTTGTTCTTCCTCCCTCCCTCCCGTGTGTCCTTTTGGTAAAATAATCCTTTAGTGGGCATCTATGGTTCAGGCACTGGGCTAGGCATAGGGAATACAGAGACACAGTCTAGCGGGTCAGGCAGAAGGCTGTGATGCTGCAGTGGGATGAGAGCCACAGGCAGGAGTTTGCAGAAGGAGCTGTAGGAACCACATGCAAATACAAATATTGTATTTGTTTCTGTTTTGTTTTTTTACTTCAAAATAAGATATGTGCAGTGTGCATAGGGATTTGTTCATAGTTTTTTTTTAAAACTATAGTCCGGCCCTCCAACGGTCTTCAGGCACTGGGCTAGGCATAGGGAATACAGAGACACAGTCTAGCGGGTCAGGCAGAAGGCTGTGATGCTGCAGTGGGATGAGAGCCACAGGCAGGAGTTTGCAGAAGGAGCTGTAGGAACCACATTGAACTTGGAGGCTGTGTAGGAGGCATCCAGGTGAAGGATGGTGATGGTGCATGGAGTGGCGAGGTGGGAGACACCGTGTTCTAGGCAGACAGGACCAGAGTCTGGAGGCAGGGGGTGTCCGCTTGACACAGTTTCTCATAGCAGAAGTGGAGTGTCCGAAGCTTGGAACTGGCAGAAGTGAGGACGGTGATAAGGGCCACAGGGAAATATTTGAAGCAGGGGAGGTATGTACTCAGATTCACATGTTAGCACCACCCACTGCTGCTCTCATTTGCCTGCTGTTCACATCAGAAATGGAGCTAACGTCCTTCTGGAGGGCTCTCTTTTATTTTTATTTTTTAAAAAAATATTTTTATTGATTTCAGAGAGGAAGGAAGAGGGAGAGAGAGATAGAAACATCAATGATGAGAGAGAATCACTGTTCAGCTGCCTCCTGCACTGCCCCCCACCCCCCCTTGGAGACTGAGCCCACAACCTGGGCATTTGCCCTGACTGGGAATCGAACCATGACTTCCTGGTTCATAGGTTGACACTCAACCACTGAGCCACACTGGCTGGGCTGAAGTGCCCTTCTTGTCCACAAGAGCCAGATGTAAACGCTGGGGAGGGTGTATCAGTCAGGATGAGGTTAGGCTATTGTAACAAGCAGTCCCCACATCTCAGGGGCATGAAACCACGGGACTTACTTCTTGCTTGTGTCCCAGGGCCTCTGTGGGTCACCGGGGCCCTGCATGCTTTGTGCCCACCAGGACCTATGCTAAAGGAGCAGCCCTGCCTCGGCCTTGTCTGTTTCCAGAGCAGTGGGGGAGAGGGGCTGGGAGGATCACAGGTGCTGCTGGTCACTTCTGCGCACGATTCATTAGCCAAAGCAGGTCACATGGTTATGCCCAATTTCAAGGGAGGATGGGTGGGGATGTACAATATTTTCTTTCCTTTGAGAGAGAGAGAGAGAGAGAGAGAGAGAGAGAGAGAGAGAGAGAAATTGATTTGTTGTTCTACCCATTTATGCATTCATTGGTTGATCCTTGTATGTGCCCTGACCAGGGATTGAACCCCCAACCTTGGCGTACTGGGAAGATGCTCTAACCAACTAAGTTATCCAGTCAGGGCCGTGGGGATGTACAGTATTATTGTGTGTAGGTGTGGGAGTCAGGAATATCGGGGGACTGAGGCCAGTGGCCAGCAAAATGGATGGAGCCCAGGTGGCCCACCTTCACTCACCTTGCCGGATCCAGATCCTGGCAGCTGTAGGCTGGCTGGCGCATGGCAGGGCTGGATGGTGGGGACCCCATTCTCATGAAGCAGCCTGGAACCAGAGTAGTGGTGGGTTAGTCAGGGTTCTCTAAGAAAAGAGAGCCAATTGCGTATAAATACACATAGATTTATTATCAGGAATTACAGTTATGGAGGGTTAAGTCCCAAAATCTGTAGCCGGGAAGCTGGAAGCCCAGGAGAGTGGATAGTGTAAGTGCCCGGATGGTGTAAGTGCCCGGCACAAGCTGGGGTGGGACACAGACATTCGGCCCATAACAGTCTTTTTTTTTTAATCCTCACCTGAGGATATTTTTCCATTGATTTTTTAGAGAGCATGGAAGAGAAACACATCCATTGGTTGCCTCCTGCACACGCCCCAACCAGGGCCTGGGCCAGGGAGGAGCCTGCAACGGAGGCACGTGCCCTTGACTGGAATCGAACCCGGGACCCTTTGGTCTGCAGGCGGATGCTCTATCCACTGAGCCAAACCAGCTAGGGCCATAGCAGTCTGTTTGGTTCACCACTGTACTCCCAGTGCTTGGAACATAGTGGGAGATCAATACCTACATGAATGAATAAATGAATGTGATACTGTTGCTGAAAAATCTCAATATGAAAAACATTCATAATATGACAAACTAAAATACTCCCTCGTTTACTGACTCCCTTGGGTTCCATTTGTTACGTCTCTCTTCCAATAACTCCTATGAGAAGAGCAGCAGAGCGAAGCCGGAAAGGACATGGGAGTAAATTAGCGATCGACTCTGTTTACAAGGCTGACCAGCATGATGGGCACGTCACAGTGCCCCAGGCTCCGGAGGACATGAGGTTGGGGGGAGTTAACCTGGTAGAAAATCGAGTTAGCTTGGCAAGGGAAAGTGGGAGCGGCGGTGTTTATATTTAATTTCCCCAGGAGGTTGGCACAACACCCCACTGGAACGGCCCTCCCCACCCGTCTGGGTGTCTGGATGTTATGTTATTCACAAGACGTCAGCTGGCAAATAGATCTGCCGACTCTGTCTGGTCGGAGGCATGTGCGTCATCCCAGGTTGCCTGGGAAAACAAGCGTCACCCAGTGTGAGCGCAGGTCGCCGTGGAAATGGTGCTGAATGGGGCCCAGGGCGCGATAATGAGCGTTGCCCGGCTCCTACAGGAGCAAAGCGCGGTATCATTTCCTCTCCATAAAGGGGAGGGGAGACCGAGAGATCAGAGGGAAATAAAAAGCCTGTTGGAATAATAAGTTGGGCTCAGAAAAACCCTGGCTTGGCACACAGTCTTTGAAGTGACAGAGTGGAACTGACAGGCAGGGAGGCACGAACATGCCCCGCGGCCAGCGATTTCCCCCTGGCGGGCTCTGGCATTGCTGGCTGCCTGCGTGTCCAGATGTCACGTACGTCGTTTACCAAAGCAGGGGAGTGGAGAAGGCAGGCGGTCAGATGGCAGCCCCGAGCGCCACCCACGTTGGCCCAGAGGTGAAGGTAGAGTTGATTGGACTCTAAGTCTGCCCCTGGGGGTGACTGCACCCCAGCACCACCATCTCAGGCAGAGCTGGACTCTGTCTGGGACCTGAATCCCAGTTCAAGTCCCACCCCTCCCACTTGCTGTGGGGGGACCCCCAATGGGACATTCAACCTCCCATGAAAAGGTCACTGGGAGGATTAAGTGACTAGATAGGTGAAAGCATTGAGCAGGGCACCCAGCGCCCAGTGTCACATGAGCATTTGCTATTTTTCATTACACACACGGATTAGCTGGGCAGATTGGGCGAGTGCTGCGGCTCATCAGGAATGGGGTCCGTCACTGAGCGTCACTGAGAAAAAGATACAGAATCTTCCTGGCCTTCAACATGGCTTCTGAAAGAACGAACTCTTACCCTTTGCGACAGCACGGATGGGCATAGAGGGTAGGATGCTAACTAGATGCTGTCTAGTTAGCATCTAAAGAACAGACAAAAGAGAAACAGACTCATAGATACAGAGAACAGATGGATGGTTGCCAGAAGGGCGAAGGGAGGGGGACTGGGTGGAAAAAGGTGAAGGGATTCAGAAGTACAGATTGGTAGTAACAGAATAGTCACGGGGATGTAAAGTACAGCACAGAGAATATAGTCAATAATCCTATATAATAAAAGCCTAATATGCAAATCGAATGAACGGCGGAACAACTGGTGGAATGACCGGTCCCTATGATGCGCACTGACCACCAGGGGGCAGACACTCAACACAGGAGCTGCCCCAGCAAGCAGGACCCAACCTGCGAGTGGGCGGCGCCAGGCCAGCCAAGGCAGGTGCCAACGGTGGGGTTGGGGGGGGCGCGCCCTGATCGCACTGCCAGTTGCCCTGCAGATCGGCCCTGATCGCTGGCCAGGTTTAGGGACCCTAAATGTGCATGAATTTTGTGCACCAGGCCTCTAGTATTATAATAATTATGTATGTTGCCAGGTGGATACTGGAAATATCAAGGGGAACACTTTGTAAAGTCTATGATTGTCTAACCACCATGCTGTACACCTGAAATGAATACGAAACCATATCGCCTGCAAACTGTAATCAAAAGACAACCTTAACTATTAATAACCTGAAAAACACACACGAGAAAAACATGGCTTTTGGCTTTTCAGGACCGGGAAGGAAAGGAATAAAGCAGACAGGTATGCCCTGGACTGCCAGGAGAAGGCGTACTGGCTGGTCCACCGAAGCCCTGTGAGTATTTCCCCTCTGGTTTCACCATCTCTCCCCTGCCTCCCACCCCCACCCTGTACTCACCGCCCTAATGCCTCCCACCCCCACCCTACACTCACCCCGCCTGATGCCTCCCACCCCCACCCTGCACTCACCGCCCCTGTTGCCAGCTCAGGACCCTCTGGAGCTGGAACACTGAGGCACAGCAGGGGCTGCCCAGTGTTGAGCTAGCGTCCACTGCCTGGTGGCTGGAGGAGGAAACGCACGCTTGGATGGGCTCTGCTCGTGGCCCATCTTGTGGTGGTTGAACCACGTGAAATTCCTTAAGCCATTAAACCTCAGTAAACTAGAATGAGTTTGTCTTTTAAGGGGACGAGGCCTATTTTTTTTGGCCAGGATACCTTGGAAAAGAAGTCTAAGAAGAAGAAACTAGGACATAGGCTCCAAAGCATGAAAATAAAATGCTGTGGAGGACTGACACTCTGCAGAGCCAAATCCTTCCCTCTCCTGGACCCTGCCCCCCGCGGCTGGGGTGAGAGGAAGAGTGTGCGGAGCCGCCTTGCTTAGAGCACATTGCAGCTCTGGCGCTGGGGCTCTGAAGGGCCCGGAGAGACAAGCTGTGCATAAGTGACGTGACTTGTCACGGCTCACCCCTGGGGAATGGTGGCCTCCTCCGCCAGCACAGAAGCGGGCGTCACCATCACCCCTGGGGTTAGCTCTGCTGCCTCCGTTCACGCCGGTGTCAGACCCATGTGCTGCCCATGGATCGTGGGAGGTGGGAGATGGGAAAGGCGTTCTGAAAAGTGAAGAGTTCACACAAACGCCCTTCCTCTTCCTCCTTTAGTTCTCTTGCTCGCCAGGCAACCAGATTCTCAGAACCGGGAAGCAAACCGGGTCAGCCCAGGTGCCGAAGCTCCCGCCTTATTGAACGTCAGGCCTATCAGATGTCGGCTGTTTGGCTTATTTTCTTTCTACACTCAAATACTCCACAGGGGTCCCATCTTGGGGGCATTGGTTCGGATGACTTGCTGCTGAGGTTAAGGCCCTGGGGTTGATCTCCAAGAAGCTTGCTTGGTTTTGCTTGGTCTCAGCGCCCCTCCTCTGGGTAAACCAGTTGGCCACCGCCCACCACGGGTGCCGGGGGCGGGGTGATGATGGATGACCGAGCCCAGGGCACTGGACGCAGGAGTGAGCTCTCTGTCTGAGAAGGGAACCAAGCGTTGTCCAGCCTGCATGCAGACGTCTGTTCCTAAAGGGGGAGCCTTGGGGAGGATAAGGGCAAATGGCAGATAAGCCACGCATTTGGCAAGGTGCTCTGGTGCCCGGTGGCACCCATGCCCGAGAGGATCCTGGTCCCTGCAGGGTGGGGATGGCTTCCATATGACATGCGGGACTCCGTGGTGGGGGGGGATGCCCATGTGACTGCATCCCTTGCAAAGTGACCCAGGCTGGCCCTGCACATGATCTGCCCCGGGTCCCTCTCCTCTGCTCTGTCCCTGAACCCCGGAGGCTTATGGGGAACAAAATGGAAAACAGATTATCCAAGTTCTTTCCAGTTCTCTTGGGGTAAGCACTCAGCCCCCACACCAGGCAAATGGCTGAGTGGCTCTCCACTGTATGATTCAGAGGTACCTAAATTTAGGTACCTCTGTGTCTCTGTGACGACTGCTTTCACCATCACCTCGCACACCTCCACCACCTCCCACCTTGCCCCCACTGTCTCCACCTCCATCACCACCATCACCACGATTGACATGGTCGCTATCATCACTACCACCACCGACCTGAATCAAGGACTTTGAGTGTGCTGGACACTGCCCTACGCATCAGTCTACAATCGCTGCCTTATTTCATTTTCGCAGTCCGGTGTGGGAGGCAATATTATTAGTCCCATGTTGCCAATAAGGAAGCTGAGGCTCAGGGATGTTGCTTATCGGCCAGAGTCACACAGCTAGTGCGTGCTGTAGCATCTGAACCCACAGACTGCACGGCCTTTCTCTCTTAGTCCCTATCCTCTGCTCTCCCAGGGCCATGTCACGTGATGTCTTAGTGCATGTGAGACCTTTTTGCAACCCCCTCGGTCATGAGAGCCTGGCATCAGGCACGGCTGCTCTAACAACCCGGCTGCCAGGGCTCACAGGAGCCTGGTCCCTCCGTGATAGCACCGGGAGCCAAGTTCAGAACAAGGCTTTGATGCACGCGGAGCAGTTGTAAAAAATTCCTTGGACACAAAACTCTTTACACCCAATCTCTCTCTTACTGCTCCCTGAAGTCGAAACCGGATCGTCAAAGATGAGGCCAGAGGGCCTGTGGGTCCTGCTCCCTCCACTTGCTTAAGACACTCACAGCCTCTTGGGGCCCAAGAGCGCTGGGGTTAGGGCCATGTTCTGCTTGGAGCGTGTCCAGTTGGAAGTCTGTCTCAGCCTTCAAGTTGAGCAAAACCAGGAAGCCCGGGAGCTCAGCTCCGTCAGACTGTCTCCCAGAGACCCAAACACACTCTCAGTTCACTGGGAAAATAGCCAGCCAGGCAGATAAAGCACTTGGCTCGGTGGCGTGTGGAACAGCCTGCATGTGAACGGACGGGGGACCCACTGTTGTGGGTGGGACACGGCCTGCAGTTACCGAATCGGTTCATTCCCCTGTTCCTGGTCTGTCCACTAATCCGTGAAACCTTCATGAGGCCCCGACTCTGTGCCAGCTAAGCAGTGAAGGTCCTGGGCATAAAACAACTCGAGCTAGAAGTCGTTGAGTGCCTACTGCGTCGAGTGCCTGTGTTAAGCTTTTGGCACAGATGGTCCCATTTGCCCGGGGATGATGCTATGAAGTAGGGAGTAGCATCGTCCCCATTATCCAGATGGGGAGATCAAGGCTCAGGGAGGTTCAGGAGCTTGCACAGGTGAACCTGTACTGTACAGAGCGCCAGGGCAGCTAGCTGGGGGAGGCGGGGTCCTGGGTCTGATCGGGGATCCGGGAACACCTCTTGGTGGAAGTGACATTCAAGCCAAGATCTGCTTCGAGCAGACGTCTCCGGCCTGTCCACCCAAACTCGTCTCCCTGCTTCAGCCTCTTCCCTGGTTTTATTTTGCTTATGAAACTATTTGGGATTTTATTTATTACTAGAGGCTCGGTGCACGGATTCATGCACCGGTGGGGTCCCTCAGCCCGGCCTGCACCCTCTCGCAATCTAGGACTCCTTGGGGGATGTCGGATGCTGGTTTTGGCCTGATCCTCACAGGCCAGGCCGAGGGACCACACTGGTGCACGAATCCATGCACCGGACCTCTAGTATGCATATAAAATCTTTGGTTAATCTCTTCCTGCCCTCCCCCCTTCCCCCTTCCCTCTGAGATTCATCAATCTGTTCCATGTTTCCATGCCTGTGCGTTGAGCGTCTGCCCCCTGGTGGTCAGTGCACGTCATAGCGACCAGTCGTATGGTTGCATGGTCGCTTAGGCTTTTATATATAGACTAGAGGTCTGATGCATGAAATTTGTGCATGGAGGGGGTCCCTCAGCCCGGCCTGCACACTCTTGCAATCTAGGACTCCTTGGGGGACCGGGCCTAAACCAGCAGTTGGACATCCCTCTTGCAATCTGGGACCCCTTGCTCCTAACCACCTGCCTGCTTGCTCCTTACCGCTTGGCTCTTCACTCCTTAGCGCTGCTGCAGAAGCGGGAGAGGCTCCCGCCACCGTGGCTGCACTTACCAGCTGTGACCCCGGCTTCTGGCTGAGCAGTGCTCCCGCTGTGGGAGCACACTGACCACCAGGGGGCAGCTCCTGCATTGAGCGTCTGCCCCCTGGTGGTCAGTGTGCATCATAGTGACCGGTCGTTCTGGTTGTTCTGCCATAACGGTCGCTGGGCTTACATACATACATACATATATATATCTATATTTGTTTTCCATTCCATGCACCAAAGGGTCTGAACTGATATGTTAGAGAAGAGAGTGATGATGAGAGAAAGTGAGGAGAGCAAGAGAAGGGACAGGAGGGGCTTGGTGGAGTGTCAGCTGGCAGTCACCACAGGATGCCGTTGCCCTTGTTTCCTGGGCACTGACTGGCGACTCTGGGTTATCTCCGTTCAAGCATCTCCTTGCGTGCCAGACACCACATCAGCTGTGGCTCTGGTGACTATTGTGGGAACAAAAACTTACGCTATCTGATGAATGAGTGAATGAATGAATGAATGAATGAATGGAGCCTGGGGTTTTCCCCAACCGGCAGAAGCAGAAAGACAGCCCCACTGGGGAGTTTTGAAGGCAGGGTGCTGGGATGGGACCACAGCTCTATAGGCACAGCTGAGACTTACGCAAAGGCCGAGAGGAGGCAGGTTCCGGGCAGCAGGGCAGCCCTTCTGTAGAGCTGAAGAGAGCCAGGAGGGCTGGCACTGGACAGGCTGGCAGAATAATAGAGCTCCGAGGGCGGCTCCAGCTCTGAGTCCAAGGCTGTCTGGCCTGGGCAGCCCTGTGCCGATGATGGTTACGCAGGTGCACCATTGAGCACCCGGGTGGCCACCTTTATATAAAAGCACGAGTCAAGTTCAAGGGAAAGAGTTGGAGAACTAATTCAAGACTCAAGATGACTGCACTGGCGCTGTGGAAGTGTGAGGGTGGGTGCCCTCAGAGTGGGTCTGAGTGTGAGAGAGTGTGTGTGAGCGTATAAATGCGACTGCGTGTGATCGTGGATGTATTTGTGTGAGAGGTAAAAGTAGTGTGAGAATACGTGTGTGTTTGAGTGTGTGAGTGTGTGTGTGTGTGAAGTCTTCAGTTAAGCTGGGGGTTTCTTATACCAGACGGAGGGGGCAATTCCTGGAACCCACTGTAGGCAAAGGCACTACACCCCTATGATTCTGACGGCCCCTCACACCCAAGCTGGGTTAGGGCCCATTGAAGGCTGGCTTGGACTTCTGTACTGTCCCTTCGTAGCACTTGTTATAACTGTAGTTCATCATTTGTGTGATTAATTGCTGAGTGGCTGCCTCCTCCTGAGACCTGCTGGGGATGTTGGAGGCAGGGGTCCCTGTTGCATGCACCACGGGCTCCCCAGGGCTGAGCACAATGCCAGCCACAGGAAGTAGCTGCTAAATTTGTTGACCGGGGTCCACATGTAACAACAACTAGGGTGAGGACGGCCATCCCTTTCCTTGTCCTCCTCCCGCCCACTTCCTACTTCTCTCGTTCTCTTCCCTGCCTAGACGGTATGCCCAACATGTGCCCGCATGGTAGCCTGCTGAGCTAAGTTGCCAGATTTAGCAAATAAAATCCATTATGCCCAGTTAAACTTGAATTTCAGATAAACAGCAAATGATGTATGTCCCAATATTTTGATACTTATTGTATGCTTCTACTAAACACATATGGAGTATATTTTTATGCAAAATGATATAGTCAAACTATTTGCTATTTATCTGAAATGCAAACTGAACAGGGCGTCCTAAAGTTTATTTGGCCACCATACTTCTGAGCTAAAAATGTGACTGATCCTGTTGATGAGGCTGAATCTGATGGGGAGAAAGCCCAGTTGCTTCCTGTCTCTGCTCCAGTGAAGTCAGCCTCGTTAATCACAAGAGAACTTGATGGGTGCCTGGCGCCAAACCAGCACAGAGGAGAGTGCAAGGCCTGAACTGCTGGCCTCAGAGAATCGAGAGAGACCAGGCAAGATTGGCTGGAGAGCGGGTGGCCTGATCGAGAAGGGAACTGACCAAGATTGAGACCCAGCTCTGGGCCAGGCCTCTATTTACACATACAATCTTGGAAGGAACACAATCCCTTGCTCCGTAACAGCGGCCCTCTGCTGAGAGAGCTTCACACTCCACCTTGTTAAGTCCTCACAAGAACCTGACAGGTAGAAGGAGCACCTCCATTTCTCAGAAAGGAAGCGTGTGCAGAGAGTACTCTCCAAGACCTTCCTGGAAGCGAGGAAGTGGCAGGACTAGGATTAGATCCTAGAGGGTGCCCGGCAGAAGCCTGGACTCTCTAAAGCTCTGCACTGTGGGTAGGGAAGGAGCACCGGGGAGGAGTCGGGAGTCCCATGTGCTAATCTCAGTGAGCTCTTGCTGAAGTTGAGTGTTATTTGAACATCAATTCATCCATCCACCCACCCACCCATCCATCACCCATCTACCTACCCATTTATTCATCCATCCATGCAACCACCCATCTACTCAAATACTCACCAGAGCATCCATCCACACATCTATCTACCCATTACCCACCCATCCCTCCCTCCATACATCCATGCACCTACCCACCTATCTACCCATCCACTCATCCATCCATCCACCCATTCATCTACCCATCACCCACTTACTCACCCACCCACCCGTCCATCAGTGCATGCATGTATCTCCCTATCCCACTGTGTTAGGTTCTGGGGATGCTGTGGTGGTGGAACAGCTTATGAAGCTCTTCTTACACACCCTCGTAGCTCCCTGTGGGCTAGGCCACAAGCCCTTATCAGTTCACTCTCACAATTGGCAGCTTGGCCAAGACCCAAAGTTAATTAGAAACTGGAGACTCTCCCAGCAGTGGTCCTTATGTTATTTTTATTCCATCCAGCCAGGAATGAACAACGTGCTGGACTATGGCCTGGACCGAGTGACCAATCCGAATGAAGTTCAGGTAAACCAGGTAGGTCTCTGCTGCCTACTGCTGGTAGGGTGGGCAGGGCCTAGGTCAGGGTCTTAGTCTGGGAAGATGTCCATCTGTCTATTGTCTAGCTGTGTCTGTTGGGGCAATGATATCTCCCCTTTGAGAGTGCCTAAGAGAGGAGGACTATGGGCTCTGTGACATCAGTGTTGGGGGCGGGGAGGCCATGGCAAGGGCCCTGCATAAAGAAAGACAAGAGATCTAGAGTGCAGGTTGGAGCCAATGGTATCCAGACGGCTGGCTTACAGATATTTCTGAATCACTTCTTCCTTTGAAAATCTGATGAAAGTTATGAAAGCATTCTGCCAAAAGACTCCCAGACAGACATTTTGCATACAATTTCAGCCAGTTCCTGGACTCCCTGAAGCTTATAGGCCCCAGGCTTAAAACCCTTGAGTCAACTTTGGGTTTAAACCCTCATCCTCAACAGGACCTGGAATGTCACTTTTTTTTTTGCATCTCAATAGCGTGGGATCTTTGCAAAGCTTCTCCTAAGCTTTTGTTTTAAAAGAACTCTTTTCCCAATACAGCTACTATTTATGATGGATGGCCAATTTCCTATGATGGTTTCTTATTTAAAGAAATGCAATTCGTAAGCTGTTGAAACAGTGAGCATTCTGGGCAGGGTTTCTCACCATGGCACTACTGTTTTGAGCTGTCCTGTGCAGTGTAGGATGTTTGGCATATCCTGGCCTCTACCCACTGGATGCCATGAGTATTGTGCCTTTCCCTGCCCACCTCCCAGGCCTGACAATCATGGATGTTTCCAGACATTGTCCCATGCACCCTGGGGGACAAAGTTATCGTGGATGAGAACCACTGATCCCAGTAAACCAGCCTAAAGCCCAGTGCAACTAGTTTGAGATGGTTTCTTTGATTTCTGTCTAACGTTGTCTTTGGGCAGCAAGGGGTCAGTGACCTCTTTAGCCTAGTGTGTCACCTCTAAGCTTTGGTTTTGCCTCAAGGCCTGAGTGGGAGCCAGGAGGGAGAAGAAAGTCAATGGGGAAAGAAAAAGAAGCAGGAACAAGGAGGTCACGAGGTCACGAGGCAGCTGTGACATGTACACTTTTGCCCGCTGGGACCCAGAACTCACAATGGCCATGGGGACCTCCAACCAGTGCGTTAGGCAGACGCACAGGGATGGAGTCCATCTGGAGAGAGATTCCGTGTCCCCAGAGGGTATCACTGGGTTGGGTGGCATGGCTAAGTCCCTTGTCCACAACTCAAAGTGACCTTTCCTTTGATACATGGGTGGCACTGTCAGCCTTCAGCGGCCTTTTCCATGTTCCCCTCGTCAGATGACAGATAATTGCTGAGGCCTTGTCGCTTGGTTGCCACGGAAACAGAATCATCAAGGCAAATACTGAACCTGGCTGGAAGATGTGCTTTTTGTGTTTTTATTTTTTACGGGTAGCTGGCAGCTCTGGAAACCTTGTGGTGGAGGTGGGGAGGGCAGAGGTGGAAAGCACAGGGCCCTGGTCAGGCTCAGAGGAGAGGGCGCCCTCTGCTTTCAAAGCCCATTTCTTGCCAGATGCTGGTATTTCCGGCCGCCTGGGTCAGAGTGTGTGGGGCAAAGGGCTGTGTCTGCCTGCTGATGTTTGACACGGGGCTGCTTTTACTTTTGTTTACCATCACCTTCTCTGTCTCTCTCTCTCCTGCACCAGCTCCCTTTCTCCTGTCTGCACTCTGGCTGTTGTGGAGAATTAAGAAGAATTAAGAATTCTCACGTAGGCGGGGTCCTCCTGCCTGTCCCCTCAGCCAGCCCAGCGGGTGCCCAATCAGCTGTTAGGGAAATAGAGGCTGCTGCTGGGTTTTATCTGTCTGCAACATTTCCCCAGTTTGACTCAATGTTCCCTGTTTTCCGGGGTTTACCTGGCCTGAGGGAGGGGGTGGTGGGAGTGTGGAGTGTCTCCCAGCATAGCTAGCTGCCTGCCTCCTGCTTTGCATTCACCGTGTCAGTTCTGAATTTCCTGGTTCCTGACTTTCGATTCCCTGCTCTCAAAGCTTGCCTACCCCGATTCCTCAGGCCTCCCCCCCAGTCTTGTGTTTTGCTCTGTGCTGGCCCACCCCTCACCTCTTGTTTTTGCAGATCCCTGCCTGGCTGCCTGATCCCAGGGTCCTGGCTTGTCCCTGTTCGGGGCTCCTGCACTTCTGGGCACAGTGGCCTGAGGGCCTCGCAGGTCAGGGCCCTGACCCCTGCTGCCCTGGGATTATTGTCTGCAGCCCGCATCCCGCATCCGGCGCTCAAGGCCAAGGAGTGGGCCACGGAGCTGTGTACATAAGCTCTGGCCCTATCCCTATTTGGGCAAATCTGCAAGCGGAAAATAATAAGCGAGAATCCCAAGAATGCAGGGCATTTGGAGATTCCTTAGACAGAGTATCTCCCTGTGCAGAGTGTGTCGCCCGGAGGAGAAATAGAGAAATGACCCCCATCCAGGAGGGCCGACTCCGGGAAGGCAGGGGATCTGTGCGTGAATTCCAGAGTCAAAAAATGTTATTATTTTATCAGGAGGTGGTTTACTTCGAATTGCTTACAAGTATGTGTGTGTGTGTTTTTTAATAACTTCATTTTATTTAAAATGAATGTTTCTTATGGCCTTTGGCTAAGTAAAAATTTTGATAGGTTTATGAGGTTTGGCAAATAAAAATGTAGGATGGCCAGTTACTTTTGAATTCCAGGTAAACAACAAATAACTTTTGTAGTGTGTACCAAATATTGCAGGGGCGTCCTGTATTTTATCTTGTAAGTAGGGCCAAAGCCATGCCACGCGTGTTCTCAGCAGCAGCCTGTGAGCCCTGTCACTGGCCACAGTCACCTGTCTAGTGTCTCACTTAATCCCTTCTTTTTCTATCTCCTTTTACCAAGGAGAAAACAGAGGCTTTGAAATGCTGAAAAACGCATCCAAAGTCATGTAGCCAATAAACCACAGAACCAGGATTTGGGCCTTGGTTTGAGCCCGACATCCACAGCCTTTTTTCCACCCGCTTCCCATCAGATTTTCTCTTGGTCTTTTAGAGGCGTCCAGAACGTTCACCCCCATACACCCTCACACCCCTAGAAGGACAGAGATGCCCTGTGTCAATCTAGAGCAGTGGTTCTCAACCTTCTGGCCCTTTAAATACAGTTCCTCATGTTGTGACCCAACCATAACATTATTTTCGTTGCTACTTCATCACTGTAATGTTGCTACTGTTATGAATCGTCATGTAAATATCTGATATGCAGGATGGTCTTAGGCGACCCCTGTGAAAGGGTCGTTCGACCGCCAAAGGGGTCGCAACCCACAGGTTGAGAACCGCTGATCTAGAGGACGCCATCCTATGGACAGCTGTCTTTAAAGCTAGAAATAAATGCTAAAATCCACATGGCCACTCCAGGTGGAGGAGGGGAAACCCCAGATGCAGCTGTATCTTATGATTAGAGAGCTCGCTGCAGTCTGATTCCCAGAAGGTAGCTGGTCATTCCGGGAATCCGAAACCCAACAGCGAACCACACCGCCGAGGCAGGGCCCTAAAAGGGTAATAAAAGCCAATGAAGTGCATTAACCTATGGAACATGTTGAGCCCTGAAGACTGAGATAATGGCCCCAGAAACAAGCATTTGAGGCCAAAGTCAGATCACGCTAGGTAGAGTAGACATGCCCGAAAGGACAGACCCCGTGGAGCCTGGAGAACAGCAGGCAGACTTGTCTGTGATCGTCCACGCAGGAGCCCTGTGGCCGCAGAACCGTGGCCGACAGGAAGTTTGATCTTGGGTCCCAGGCACTTTGAAGGAGGGTGTTTAGGATGCTGGCTGCTGAGCACAGGCCTTTACCATCATTACTATCTCCCCTGCTCCCAGCTCTACTGAGATATTGACATGTAACATGGGTAAGTTGAAGTGATGATTAGAGACATGTCTATATTGCAAAACATGACCACAATAAGGTTAGTGAACACCTACCTCCACCCCCTCGCATGATTATGATTGTGTGTGTGTGTTGATGACAGTTAAGAGCTACTCTCTCAACAGCTTCCAGGCCTGTACTGCAGTATCGCTAATTACAGTCACCACGCTGTGCACCGGGTGCCCAGATCTTATTTATCTCAGCTCCGGGAGTTTGTTTTACCTCCACGAGTGTGAATTAAAGAGCGTTTCCTGTGTTTGTGTTCCATCTCGGTGTTGGGGCTCCAGCTCTCTTTTTTGTTTTAATTTTACTTGAAATGGCTGGACAGAGTCATTCTGTTTGGCATCGTCCTCAGCGTCAGGGCAAGGAGGAAACCGGAGTGAGGAGCAGGCTATTTTCTGTTTCTCATGGATCCCTCCTCAGCTTCCCAAAAGGCAGAGCTGGGTTCGAATCTTGGCTCGGCCACTTACTGACCAGGAGTTGTTGACAAAGTTGCCCATAACCTATTCCCGTCTCAGAGCTGAATATCGGAATGATAAAACCTCGCTCCCTTACACAGGTATCAGGGCTCCACGAGGTGCAGATGGCTTTGCACTAGTTGCTAGGTGGTGGTTGTTATGCACCAGTCCAGCTTCCCCTTTGAGCAGCGGGCAGAGGCCAGTCCGTACTATCTTTAATCTATTTCAGCAGACTCGGACAGAAGAATCTGATTACATTAGGTTTGCATGCAAATCTGCCGTGGCCCCAGGTCCTTTCCTACCTGAAGTGTGTGTCTTCTAAAACAGGGCCTAATGTGGAGACAGACTGGGAACAATAATCAGTGTGGTTGCCGAAATATTTGGATCAACTTTTTAAGTGGAGAAATGTTCTCTTAAGCTTAGAATACATCTCCATGTTCATTTCAGGCCTCAGCACACGGCAGTCATCACATATTTAATATCGATTGAGCATCTACTCTGCACCAGATGTTACGCTAGGGAAGACTGACAGGGTCGTCTGCTTCTAATGGTGCCTAGTGGATGATATGTATCTTAGAGAGGCACACACAGACATACATCATGAATTGTGATAAAGGCTATGAAGAGGAAGTCAGGGTGTGTGGGAGGCCCCAACAAGGGACCTACCGGAGCTTTACCTTCCTGAGATACCTCTCCCCACTTCCCCACCCGGGAAAAGGATTTCCTGTGAAAAGCAAGTACATAAAAGCAATCTGATGAAGCAAAATAAAAACTGGCAAGGATTGGAAAGGAGAGACGTGCACGTGCCATCCTAGATCGGAACCTCCTGGCCTATAAGCCGTTGTCAGTGGGCTCATGGGCCATTGGTTATTTTATTATTAACTGGCTGAGGAAATAGTATCCTCCTTGGCCTTTTAACATATATATATATATTATTGATTTCAGAGAGGAAGGGAGAGGGAGAGAGAGATAGAAACATCCATGATGGGAGAGAATGATTGGCTGCCTCACTGGGGATCAAGCCCACAACCCAGGTATGTGCCCTGACCAGGAATTGAGCCCTGTTCTTCTAGTTCATAGGTTAATGCTCAACCACTGAGCCTCACCAGCAGGGCCCCAGTGTGATCCCTGTCCCCCACTGGGGTATTGGTGAAGCTGTTATGAATGCATCAGGAATGAGCCTCACCATTCATTCAGCTCTCTCTGTCCTGTGAGAGGAGAAACAAACACTTAAACCAGTTCCCCATCGATTTCAGGTGGTTCGGTAGGCCCGACAGTAGATGGGGACCAATCCCAAACTCAGTCTTTCCTGCATCTTGGCTTTAGGGTCAAGAGCAGGGTCAAGTCACAGTGGTAAATCCTACCCCTCCCTTCACCATGTCTCTTAGTTGATCCAATTCTCCAATAGTTGCCTAGCATAGGGTGGAGGTGGTGGTGAGGGGGAAATTCTATCTTCTAAGAGATGATGGACAGTTTTCTCATGGGGAGTGTGTTTTTATTTTCCAAATGGGCCTTTGAACTGTGATGATTTCATGGCATCTGTTTAATGGCTCTGGCTTCTTTGTTTTACAGAAACAAACAATCACTGCTGTCAAAAAAGAGGTAATTTGCCTCCCAGTTCCAGGGATGTTTGATTTTAAATCCTCCAACGCATTACACGTACTTGGGCTTGAGGCTCTGCACTCGGCAATGAAATGAAAGCCACATGTAAAGTTCAGAGGACTGTTTACAAATGAATGGACAGCACAGAATGGCAAAGCATCTTCTGTGAGATCTGAACGGGGCCGATGCTGGACTCGGGTTCGGGGACACTGTCAGAAGGCACCTATCAAATGCTGTAGGGCCTGCATCCCCACCCTGGCCGCTGGTCCTACGATTACAGGGCTGTTCAGAATTTGCCCAGAGTGGCACATTGCCTATTTTGACATATTTTTTATCCAGGGCCCAAGACAGAGCCCTGGTAATCGTTGGCCATTGAGGTTAGAGCCGCTTGGTTAACCATCTGTCCCCATAGCTTGGTTTAATGCTTCTTAGAACTCCCCCCCCCCCCCCACACCCCAGTTGATGCCTCTTCCAAGACCAACACATGATGGGTGAAGGAGGCCCCTAATTTGAAGTTTGGGATCACCCATCTACTGTGGGCCTGAACCCTGTTGGTACTGAGGTGTCTGGCTTGAGGGGTGGAATGGGATGCCGTGATGGGTATAGGGTGTCTAGTTCTGGAGGTCCTCTGTGAATATCAGTGTAGTGACACCCAAGGGTGGGGCAGTTGGACATCTTCTAACGACCGTGTCTCTTCCAGATCATGTATTACCAACAGGCCTTGATGAGGTCCACAGTGAAGTCTTCGGTGTCCCTTGGAGGGTATGTTCCTATTTTGTTGGTCAGCAGATAGGCAAGAAGAGAACTTTTGCTTGAAGGCAAACTGGAGCGGTCACAGACTGACTTAAGATCCTAACGAACTCTGCGGGACAAGAGCGGTCTCTGGGGGTTAAGTTACTGGTGGTCCACTCGGTGCAAGTGTCCAGGTCTCATCTTGGGTTCGGCAAAATCAGGTGGGTAAGGTTCTGTACAAGCCTGTCATCTCTTTCGTGGGTGGGAAGGTGGGGAGAGTTCATGGACTGGACCCTATGGGGATCCATGATAGCCTGTGTTCCTAGCATCACCCTCTCAAACTAATTAGGGAAAGGTGGGCTGTGTTCACTGAGTCAATGTACTATTAAGTGTCCATGGTTAATCTCGGATCTAAAATCCAATCAGGACACATTGGAAATTTAGGTTTGGTTTGTTGAACGTTCAGGCTACCCTGACCCAGTCCCTTGTAGGACATTACCTGAGACACACAAAGGGTTTCGTGTCAAGATACAATGTCATGAGCCTGCATTTTTTATTAAATCGGTTATAGAGAAATTAAAAAGGGACTGGGTTGGGAGACAGCACCTCCTTTCACAAGTAGAACGGGGACAGATTTTCGTCAAATGCCTGCTAATCCGAGTGCTGTTAGGCAACCAAATCGATAAGAAAGTAATAAGTCGGCAACCAAATCGATAAGAAAAGGAGGCCAGGCTGACCAGTCACCCTGAGCATGGACTTAGTCTCCTGGGTGTTGAACTCCTAGGAAATCTTTTCCATTTGCTTTGCAGGATCGTCAAATACAGCGAGCAGTTTTCGTCCAATGACGCCATCATGTCAGGCTGCCTCCCTAGCAATCCTTGGATAACAGATGACACCCAGTTCTGGGATTTAATTGACTTGTTCACATGCCATACAATTCATCCACCCATTTGAAGTGTACAATTCAGTCTTTTCTTTCACTATATTCATGGAGTTGTACAGCCATCACCGCAAGCAATTTTAAACCACTTTCATCACCCAAAACAGAAGCCCCACTCACATACCCTTTGGCTATTTCCTCTCCCCACCCCCAACCAATATTCCTCCAGCTCCTGGCAACCACTCAACAGCTTCCTGTCTCTGTGGGTTTGCTGATTCTGGACACTTCGCATAAGCGGGAGCCTATTCCATGTGGTCTTTCGTGATTAGCTTTTTCACGTGGCATCCTGCACATATTACTCCGCCCCTTTAAAGGCTGAACAATATTCACTCTAAGGCTAGACCACATTTTGGTTTTCCATTCATCAGTTGATGGACATTTGGTTGTCTCTGCCTTTTCGCTATTGTGAGTAATGCTGTTGTGATCATCCCTGTTCAGATTTTTGTGTGAACATATGTTTTCGTGTCTCGTGGGTGTATACCTAGGAGTGGAGCTGCTGGGTCAAATGGTAACTGCGATGAACAACATACTGTTTTTGAAAAGAAGACAATTATCTTTATGGCTTTGCGTCTTGGGTGTCTGATTAGTGTCAGACTAAGTTCCTGGAGGGCAGGGCCCTAATGCTGCCCTGGTGATTATGCTGCCCACTCCTTAGCTCTGCCTGTGCATTTCATTTTTAACATTTATTTATTATTTAAAAAATATTTTTATCGATTTCAGAGAGGAAGGGAGAGGGGGAGAGAGAGATAGAAACATTGATGAGAGCGAATCATGGATTGGCTGACTCCTACACCCCGCCCACTGGGGATTGAGCCCGCAACCCGGACATGTGCCTTGACCGAGAATCCAACAGTGACCTCCTGGTTCATAGGTTGATGCTCAACCACTGAGCCACGCCAGCCGGGCTGGCTGTGCATTTTGCATGGTTGTTGCTGCTAACTGTGCCTGCGTAATCCGGTTGTTTGGAAGAGGGGCAAAGGCAGTAATGCAGGGGGAGAGGGTAAGCCAGCAAAGGAAGAAGACAAGGGTGTAAGTGTCAAGTCAGAGGGGAAGGTAGAGGTGGAGCAGTGGGGAGGAGGGGCTCCTAGGAGTATAAGACCAAGCTTATGCCAATGCCAAGGCCATCACACCTGCGTGGGGAGGACACAGGTAGCCCAATGCAGCCCAGGTAAGCGGGCACAGCTGGAGAGCCTTTCACCTGGCCCAGGTAGCCTGCCCTGGGCAGTTGATGGTTAAGGAGGGCACTCATCTGAGTTTGGGGTGTCAGTTGCAGAGCAGAAGACTCTAGAATCACCTCCTGGGGGAGTCTTCCCTCCCCCACTGGGGGCTCTGGTCATTAGAATGTTTTTCTGGAGTCTGTGCCTGTCTCCCAGTTATCAGACAGGAGAGGCGGCCTGCATCTCCTTGTGGACAAGGATGGGTGGCATTCGGCTCTCCAGGGAGGAGAGGGCAAGGCCACCTGGCCAGGAAAAGTGTTGTCCTGAGAGGGAAGGGAAGGAGGCCTTTCAAAACACCGAGCAGAATGGGACTTGCATCTTAGAGGAAGCCCAGAAGAAGTGCAGAGATGGCACCGGGGTCCACTGGGGGCGTGTGGCCTGAAGGCCGGAGGAGCATGGAAAAGGGCCAGCTGTGCGGTGGGTGATAGCCATCGAGGCGGTGGCAGTGGCCATGGCACCCATTGCAGTACTGTTTGGGAATTCCCCCCTGGCCCGGCGTGCAGCCTGGCCTTCTGCGGGCCAATCTCCACAGGCCCTGGCGCAGGCCTTCCTGTTCTTTCACCCGAAGGCTAAGAGCTGTGGTGGTCCTTCTCCCCTTTGGGCTGCCAGCTCCTGCTAGGAGGCCCAGGGGCCCTGTCTGAGGATGCATTTCCCTAACAAGTGATTGCTTGGGTTGTACATTTGTGCAGAAATGAGGGTGGGGGGACTGATGGAGGGAGCTAAAGCCCTCGCCCCAGTCCAGGCCGCCGCCTGGCACAGCCCCCCTCCCACGGAGTGTCCGGGGCATTTATACCGTGTCCTCCCTGCAGGGTGGAAATCCCAACCAAGATGCGCGTGGAACGGTGGGCCATCAACTTCAGTGAATTGATTCGAGACCCCAAGGGGCGCCAGAGCTTCCAGTACTTTCTCAAGAAAGAATTCAGTGGTGGGTCTTTGATTAAAAAAAAAAAAAGATTTAACGTTTAGAAGCACTCCTGTCGTGTCTAGCACAGAGTTCCCAAGGGGCCTCACGGTTGGGGGGGAGTTTCATTCGCTCACATGAATGTTATTCACATTTTCAAGCTTCCCCTCCCTGCTGGCCGCCCCATTCCTTACCCTGATCCTGGGGTCACCAGCTCCTGTGGGCCTGGCGCTCCGTGCAGCTCCCGGGGAAAGCGGACGAGGAGGGAGGCCGACAGCAAGCTTTCTTTTGTTTCCCAGCCTGATCCTTCAGCTCAGCGCTTCTCGACCCTGGCGGCACATTCGAGTCACCTGGGGATAGTTTAGACGTCTCGCCTGGGTCCCACCCCAGAGGTTCCTTTTTAATTGATTTGGGGTGAAGTTTCCCAAGGTTTGAAAACTCCCCAGGTGATTCTAATATGTGGCCATAATGGATAGCCGCTCTCCAGTGCTGCTTCCATCAGGGGCTCAGGAAGGTGCGGATTTTAATGGCACGGGAGGGGCCACATTCTAGATCAGTGATGGCGAACCCTTTGAGCTCGGCGTGTCAGCATTTTGAAAAACCCTAACTTAATTCTGGTGCCCTGTCACATATAGAAATTTTTTGATATTTGCAACCATAGTAAAACAAAGACTTATATTTGTGATATTTATTTGATATATTTAAATGCCATTTAACAAAGAAAAATCAACCAAAAAAATGAGTTCGCGTGTCACCTCTGACACGCGTGTCATAGGTTCGCCGTCTCTGTTCTAGATCGATCCCATCTCTGGATGTCTCACACGGTAGACACTTGCAACTTCTTAAACACACAGCACCGAGAAACCTCTGGGGAGTCATAGCTCAGGTCAGGACCGATTTCACCAGGCTGAGCATTCCACTGGCTCCCACACTTATACTGAAACATTTACTTTTATAAAAATATTTTTTATTGCCCTGACCGGTTTGGCTCAGTGGATGGAGTGTCGGCCTGCAGACTGAAGGGTCCCAGGTTCGATTCAGGTCAAGGGCATGTACCTTGGTTGCGGGCACATCCTCGGTGGGGGGTGTACAGGAGGCAGCTGATCGATGTTTCTCTCTCATCGATGTGTCTGACTCTCTATCCCTCTCCCTTCCTCTCTGTAAAAAAATCAATAAAAAATATTTAAAAAATATTTTTATTGATTTTTTAGGGGGGTTAAGAGAGAGAGAGAGAGTCAGAGAGAGAGAGAGAGATATGAGAGTGAAACATTGATCCAATGCCTCCTGCATGCCCCGTACTGGGGATGGAGCCCGAAACTCGGGGATGTGCCTGTGGATGTGCCCTGACCAGGAATCAAACCAGCAACCTTTCTCATGGGAGGACGCCCAACCAACTGAGCCACGCCGCCAGGGCTGAAATATTTACTTTTATGGGGTTCATTTACTTCTTTACAAAGTCCCCAGCTCTGGGGAACACCGCATTATAGCCTCAACATTCAGCAGCTTATTCCCCAAGGCCCACCTGTCTGTGACCTCGAGGGACATGCCATTAGCCTGTTCGATGCAACACATTACATTATCATATGGATTCTTGAAAATCCTCTCTCGGATCCAGCCTAATTGCCATGATATAAGAAAACCCACTGCAGATGGATGGGGAAGGGGAGTGCTTTCAGCACCAGACAGAAGCAACTGTCCAGTGAGTGGATAGGGTGCCATCTAGTGGCAAAGTCACAAACCACACCCCGAGTCTCCCCTACCCACGCATTACTTAGTCACAAAATCTGTGGAAAAGATTTCCCTGCATTATCAAAATAGCACTATTGGTGATCTCCACATGGCATTCCTCAAAAATGAATCATCAGTTTTCTCATTTAATCGAAAAATCATAAAATTGAGATCTAATTCACCTACCATAAATTCACATACCATATAACTCACATGCCATAGTCCACATACCCTTTTAAAGGGTACAATTCAGTGGTTTTAGTTTATTCACAAAGTTGTGCACCCATTACCACTGTATAATTCGAGAACACTTCCACCACCTCTAAGAGAAACCCCGTTAGAAATGTCCTGTTCTTCTCCCTTCCTCCGCTCCACACGTCCTCCCTGCCCCCAGCCCCAGGCAACCACTAACCTGCTTTCTATCATCTTGGATTTGCCTATTTTGGACATTTCATATAAATGGAATCATAAAGCATGTGCCCTTTGGTCTTCTTTCACTTAGCACAGTGTTTTCAAGGTTCACCCATGTTGTAGCGCATTTCAGTGCCTCATTCCTTTTCACGAATGAATAATATTCCATTGCGTGGATATGCCACATTTTATAGACGGGGCCCTATCGTGTAGCAATGCACGTTTACAGCCCAGTCATGTGTGGCCTTGTTCAAGCATATTTGCTACCACTAACTTCCAGGGCAGAGAACACGGCAGCCTCTGGGGGCTGATGTGAGCTGAGCTTGTGTCCTTGGGGACAGAGCAGTGATCACAGCAGACACGCACAGCTGCGAGCATGGCGACGCCCATCAAGCTCCTGTCAAAGACACATGTGCAGCAGCCATAGGTTAACGAGGTCCCAGGCCCTGGGGTCGGCGTGGCTGCCCATTGTCCAGCCCCACAGGCGCCCGGGCTTGTGCGGAAGGAAGATGCTCACCGCCGGGAGCCGAATCTATCCTGGCTGACCGGTTTCTTCTCTTCTCCCCGCTGGTTTCCTGTCTGGCTTTTGTCTCCCTGTGCAGGAGAGAATCTGGGATTCTGGGAAGCCTGCGAGGATCTGAAGTACGGAGATCAGTCCAAGGTCAAGGAGAAAGCGGAGGAGATTTACAAGTGAGGATTAGCCACCTTGAGGGGAGCCCCCCGCCCCCATCGCACACCCCTGGTGTCAGCAGCTCAGTCCTGCACCTGCCGTGCTATACATAGCTCACTGCCCCTGTGGAAGGCTCCCCCTGATCCTGGGGGAAGGTGCTTACTTGGGAGTTAAAGAGGCAAGCCGCCCTGAATTACAGCGCTTTGTCTAAACCCTCTTAGGGCTCCTGAGAGACAGGTGTGCGCAGGCGTGCCAGAGAGAGAGAGAGAGAGAGAGAGAGAGAGAGAGAGAGAAGGAGATAGGTGAGGTGGGAAAACCTATTCCATCTTAGGGAAGGGAGGCCCATGTGGGGAAGGGAGGTCCCCCGAGTGTCCAGGACTGTGAGCCCAGCCTGGGATACAGCTGTGGGCACAACGCTTATGTTGCAGTTACCGGCTCTCCCCTCACTTGCTGAGTGTAGCGATAAGTCTGTCCCTCCGCGGGCCTGCCTCTCCTCCGAATTCCCCTCCAAATTCCCCAGTGTCCAGGACTGTGAGCCCAGCCTGGGATACAGCTATAGGCACAACGCTTATGTTGCAGTTACCGGCTCTCCCCTCACTTGATGAGTGTAGCGATAAGTCTGTCCCTCCGCGGGCCTGCCTCTCCTCCGAACTCCCCTCCAAATTACCCAGCAGTTAAGGGTGGCCTTAGCGGACACCTGTCTTGGGCTCTGAGGGCCCAGGGCATTTTGTTCCTATTCACACGCTCAGCTCAGCCATGGTTGCCAAAGCAAAGCCACCACGCTGGGCTGGAACCAGCCGTCTGCGGCCACGACGGGGCAGGCCAGATGGCCTTCGCCTCTGAGCGTTTCTCCCTCCAGACCTCTGTGTCCTTCCTTCGAAAGGACGCAGAACGGACCATCCTAGTTTTCAGAGGCTCGAAGGACAGAAGGACAGTGAAGAGGAAGCTGAGGCCTCCTACAGAGAGGCTCCTGTACTTCCTCAAATGTTTGCCCACCTCCTCCCACAGGGAGACACCCTGCACCCCAAGAGAGATGGGGGGTGGATTGTCGGTCCAGGAAGGTCCCGTGACATCCTTCCCCAGGACAATGGTGTGTGACTGCCTCGCACACTATGACCCACGCACACTCCTAATTCCAAAAATCTGCAAGGGAGCCGGCTGCCTCCCCCTTTACATCAGCCTCCTTCCTCCCCCTCCTCCCCCCCGGGCTCCCCACTTATGTCATCTCAGTCCGAATTCCAGAATTTCCCTGTGCAGCGTAGGGGTGGGGCGCAGTATCCACGTGAGTATTCCTAACCCTCAACACGTCAGAATGGGGGTACGGGAGAGCTCCCAAATCCCAGGTGGATGCAGGTCTCAGGACGTGCGGCCGAGTGTAGTTCTCATGGGGCCACTGGCAAGGATGCGCAGGTCTTCAAATCCGGGGGTGCCGGGTACCCGGGCTGCCTCCCCGCCCAGCATTTGGATCCAGCTCCAGACAGGTCTAGACGGGCCGTGGGGGAGCGGAGGCGCTGGGGCACCGTGTCGAGGTGCTCGGCCGAATCTGGGGGACAAGGAGGCAGAGGCGTGACGTTGGAGGCTGGGCTCTCCGCCCTCATGGCGAGGGTTGCTCCATCCACTTCTCTCTCCTAGACGCTGGGACACCAACGCTCATCAGTCACGTTCCCAGTACTGGCATGGCTGTTGTCTTGCTTCTGAGAAATGTTGCTTGGCAACCTGTTCAAACGCTTCCTGTCTCCTAAAAAGGGACCCCTTCCAACCCGGGACACCTGAGTCATGTCCGTCCCTCCCGCTCAAGCAGCTGTGAACTTAAAAAAAAAAATCAATACATATATATATTGATTTCAGAGAGGAAGGGAGAGGGAGAGAGAGAAACATCAGTGATGAGAGAGAATCATTGATCGGCTGCCTCCTGCACACCCCTCACTGGGGATTTAGCCCGCAATCCAGGCATGTGCCCTGACTGGGAATCGAACTGTGACCTTCCTGGTTCATAGGCCAATGCTCAACCACTGAGCCACACCGGCCAGGCAGCTGTGAACTTTTTATTAACCGACTTGCTTTAGCTACTTTTTGCTAACATTTCCCTCCCCGCCCCAGGCTATTCCTGGCCCCAGGGGCGAGGCGGTGGATCAACATCGATGGCAAAACCATGGACATCACGGTCAAGGGGCTGCGGCACCCCCACCGCTACGTGCTAGATGCTGCGCAGACCCACATTTACATGCTCATGAAGAAGGTTGGTCTTTGCCGATGATGCCGGGTGCGGGAATGGGGCAGGGAGCCCTTCCCTCCCAGGTGCCTGGAGAGTTCTTTAGATATGGGGGCAAGGGACACGGCATGTGGCTACAGCTTTGCGGGCGTTGTCTCCCCAAAAGCTGTCTCTTCCATCTGTGCCCTGGGCTGGAACCCCCTTGAGCCCCCAAGCTCGCTCGCTGGGAGGACCCCCATAGATGCCTGAGGGCTTACAAGACACAGTCCGCTCAGCAAAGCATGGAACTTTGCATCAAAGACACCCCACGAGGTGGGGACGGCTTCTCCAGAGTCTAGCAGTTTGCTGGGGGGGGGGGGGGCAGAGGTGGAGCCCGGATTCAAGCTGCGTCCCTCGGAGCCAAGGCTGAGCCCTTCCTCCCTCCCGTGGATGGCGGCAGTCCTGGTGGCCCTGCCCGAGCAGACATACCACAGGGCGGGGTTCGTGTGTGCGATGGTGGTAAGACCCCGGGAGAATTCAGACAGCCTTCTGGGTTATAATAAAAAGTGAACATGGGGGTTTGCAGGACGTTGTTTAAAAAAGAAACGGGCACCTGAGAGAAAATCAATCACTTCAAAATTTCCTTTTCCTTTCCATTCTTCGATATGCAACTTACATAGTATCTATTACCATTTTATTTTTTTTAAATTAAAATTTAGTATTTTTGTTCTTTTAAATTATATTTTTCAATTATAGTTTATATTCAATATTATTTTGTATTGGTTTCAGGTGCACAGAGTAATGGTTAGATAATAATGAACTTCACACAGTGTTCCCTGTTATTCCCAGTGCCCACCTGGCACCACACATAGTTATTGCAATGCTATTTTGATCACTTTCTTAAGAAATTAGAATTTGGGGCTCAGGCTCAGCCTTCGAGGAGTTGTCTAGTATGGTTGCCACCCGGCGCCACGCCCAACGAGACTTCCTTCCGTAGCTTCAGCTTCTCACACGGCAGTTATTCCTTCAATGGCAAAGTATCTCTAGAAACTTTGTTACAGGATGTAGGTTTGTGTGAGTATCATTTTTCTATTAGTTTCCCTTATTATATTTCTTTTACTTTGCCCTTTGTGTTTATTGCACTGGAAAGAAATGGTTTTACTTCGCTTTGAAAATATGGAACAATTTAAATACTTTACCAAGCCAGATTAGCCATTTTTCACCATTCATTTTTCATTAGCGGGTTTTTCTGTGCTTCCCTTATAAGAGGACTTACAGCGGGATTTCTTTAATAATGGTCTTCCTTGGTGTATTTTAAAATACATTTTGATTCTTAAAAAAAAAATTAGGGAGACAGCCAGAGAGGCCAGCTACTAGCCAGAACAAAACAGAGTCATGGGTAACTTCATAATGATATATACAGGGGTGGGCAAGTGTAGATTACAGTTGTGAGTACTCGAAACACAGAGTTAATAAAGCGATTGCAATAATCATAACCTGCAAGCTGTTTTCCGTACGAACAACCGTGAGCCACCACTCAGTCCTTCAATAAATAGCGAGAATCCGAGATCCCTGGTGGTCGCTGTGGGCTTTGCCCCATATTTGCCGTGACTAGACTGGCTTGGAGTGTGCTTGGAAGTAGTCAGCATTCATGAAGCGATGGCTCTGAACCTGTCCAGGGTCCCAGGAACTAGCCACACGGGAGGAGCCTGAGCCTGGGTCTTTGGTTTTCTCTTGGCCTCATACCCACACTCAGGGCAGAAAGGGGCGGTTGGCGGCTTCGGCGTGGGCTCCATGCTCATGCTGCTCATCTCCACCGGAAGAAGGTATTGGGTGGCGCGGGCTGGCTGCAGGGTCCTCTTGTCTCCAGCTTGCTTCGCTGAAGAGCTTGGATGTGGGTTTTGGGTGGGGGCTACAGACTCCGATGACCGAACCTCAAGTGCAGTCGAGTCAGCTGGAGGCTTGTGAAGACTCAAGTCGTCCCACCCCCAGAGCTTCTGGTTCAGTAGGTCTGGGGCGGGCCTGGGAAGGTGCACGTCTAGCACGTTGCCAGGTGAACATGGGGCTGCTGGTTGGGACCACACTTGAGATCCGTCGCTTTGGATACACACGGACATAAATGCCTTTCACGCAAGGAGACGCATCCTCTTAACCTCGCCATCTAATTGCCGAGGGAGGGCTTGAAAACGGCAAGCGTGTCCATTTGATTTGACACGTTCCCTCTCGTAATGACTGTTTTTCTCTCGTGCCCTCTAGGATTCTTACGCTCGCTATTTGAAATCTCCCATCTATAAGGAAATGCTGGCCAAAGCTATTGAACCTCAGGAAACCACCAAGAGAAGGCAAGTGGAATGGCCTGTGGTTGCCGGTTGCCTGCTGTTCTTGTTGGCAGAGAATTGAGGGTCTCTTCCAGCCCAGTGGCCATGGTTGAGAGATGTTTGTTTGATGGAAATATTGGGGACTGGGAAGTATGTATCAAGGTATGATTGCCTCACTGGCCTCAGGATGCCCTGAAATCATCCTAGCAAGATTTCCTTCGTCATTACTGCCAATGAGTTTTCTTCCCCTTGTGCTGGTTTGAAAGAATCTTATCAGACTTATAGTTACACTTATCACAAACTAGAGGCCCGGTGCACCAATTTGTGCACAGGTGGGGTCCCTTGGGGTGTCCTAAGGAGATCGGGCCCCAGCTCATGCCCTTAGCCTTGCAGCCCCAGCTCGTGCCCCGAGCCTTGCAGCCAGCAGCCCCACCTGGCACCCCACCTTGGCCTGGCGCCGCCCACGCACCTGCTCCACTATCCCACCATGGTCCCGCTCACGCGGGGGCCCATCGGGCCCAGCAGCGCCTCCACTGCTGCCCACTGCCAGTGCTGCGTTGCCGACACCCGCCATGTTCTGCACCGCTCCCTGGTGGTCAGCGCACATCATAGTGAGTGATTGAATTCCCAGTAGAACAACCGTCTGAGGGGACAATTTGCATATTAGGCTTTTATTATATAGGATAGAAGCAACTCATTGGTGTTTTTTAAACTAAAACAATTTTGTTTTTATTTTTTGTAACTTACTGGTTTTTTAATATATATATAATTGATTTCAGAGAGGAAGGGAGAGGGAGAGAGAGATAGAAACATCAATGATGTGAGAGAATCATTGATCGGCTGCCTCCTGCATACCCCACAATCTGGGCATGTGCCCATGACCGGAAATGAACCTGGGACCCTTCAGTCTGCAGGCTGATGCTCTATCCACTGAGTCAAACTGGCAAGGGCCAGTTTTTTAGTTGCGACACTTCTCCACCTTCCTAATGTATGGGGATTAATTTAGCCACATCTTTGTATCCTTGGAGTGCCCTAAGACCTTATAGAGAACAGCAGAATGTACCATAGAGAAATGGTAGATGGTTAGGGGAAACGAACAGTGCCGTTCCAAGTATTCTTGGGGACCCTCTCAGTGTCTGTCAGTCAGCACCTCCCCCCGCCCCTTCCTCACTGGAGATGCAGATCATCTCACCTGGCAGAGCCCTGGCACGAAGCACGGAATCGTGTTCTGAGGGGGCAGTTTGAGCTCTCCTTTTGGCAAAAAGGAACCTCTATGGTAGCAATTTTTGACCTTTGTCATCTCATGGCACACATAAACTAATTACTAAAATTCTGCAGCACACCAAAAAATATATTTTTTATCGACTTGACAAAAAATTTATTATTTTGATTGATTTACAAAAAAATAATAATAGTAATCACCTACCCTTTTTGCTCCAAAATGACTTAAAAAAAATCAGGTGATCAGGTGCCTCTAGTTGTATATAAGGATTTGTGGTACCAAGAATTAACCAGTCAGATGCAACTTGATTATGTGACGTGACCAATAAGATGCAACTCTGTGCTTGGGCCGGCGTGGCTCAGTGTTTGAGCATTGACCTATGAGCCAGGAGGTCACAGTTGGATTCCCAGTCAGGGCACATGCCCAGGCTGTGGGCTCGATCCCTGGTTTGGGACGTGCAGGAGGCAGCCAATCAATGACTCTCTCTCATCATTGAGGTTTCTCTCTCTTTCTCCCTCTCCATTCCTCTCTGAGATTATATATATATATGACTCTGTTATATGACCTATATATTTATTTATGGCTCAAGACAGGGCATTCACACCGGACAGCTATTGCTGTTGGCTGTTGTTATTTTTTTATTTGACAACCTTAGGGAAAAGAGGTCCGTGCCCCCGACTAGATAGTCCGGTATTGCATGTTTTAAACATTCTTGCAGCTCACCTGTTGAAAATCTCTGATTGATGGGGATTGAAGATTCAAAAGAGTAACCAAAGACGCGGGACTTTGGGGGAGGTGTTCCTAGCGCCGATGCATGACCTGTCCCCGCCGCGTTAGTAAATGTTCCCGCTCGCCAGCTCAGCCCACGCTGGGCTCCTATCCAGCATCTCCAGTCAATTCAAACGAACGGTGGTTGGACCGGAGCCTTTATCAAAGGAGCTTTAAAAAAAGCCCAACTCGGCTTCATTCTCGAGGAGAATGGCGCTGTTATGAAAAGGAGAGAAAGGAGGTCTCTGTGGTGCCATTCTTCTCGGTTTCCCGGGGAAGGAAGGGAGTTCAGGGTCCCTGGGGATTTGAAAGCTTCTCCTTTAAGCCCCAAGAAAGGGCCATAATCGCTCCACAAGTCCTGCAGGAAGTAGTGGGGAAGGAGGGGAGTCTCGCACTGCTCTCTGCAGAGGCTCTGTGAGCGGGGCAGGCTGAGAAGTCAGCAGGATCTCCTCCTGGGTGCTGGGTGCCGGGAGGGCTGCGTTGGCATCAGCCCCAGGGGCAGGGAGAGGCGCTGTGTTGGAGCCGGGCGATGCTGTTACTGCTGCTGTGGGCGGGAACACGCGTGGGAATGCTTTGGTGACACTGAAGCTCCGCCTGTGACTGTGGGATTACGGCGGGTGTGAGTTCGTAACATGATTTGCAGGGATAAGACGATGTGTAAAACTTAATTTTTCTAGAGCAAGTTACATGGAGCTCTCCACCTTCCCCTGGCAGGGCTGGTGGGAGATTCAATATCAGGCATGCCTTCCTGTTGGGGAGCCCTCTTCCTCCCTAGGATAGAGTTCTACAGGCTCCTGTAGTCCAGAGATTTGGGGACGTCCTAGGTTTTAAGTCTACCTTTGCTGCTAAACGCTTGTTTCCAAGCCTGTGGGTGGCTTAGCTGCTCTCTCTCCTCTGTATGAGTCAGAGCGTTGTCCTGGCTTCTTCCAAGGCCACGGTCAAGAGAGTTTGGTCCCAGGAATCCACGTTTAACCTCTGTGGGAGGTTCTGACTCCCTGGGTGCATGTGCACGGGGCCAACAGCTCCCCAGCCCTCTCCAGGCCCCTTTCCCCTTTCTCGGCCCACTGACCTCTTAACCAGCCCAGCTCTTCTCCTTCCCAGAGCCTTGGCTTTGGAAAACAAATGCTCCAACTCTCCCTTGAGGCAAGAACCCAAACCCTCCTCGCTCCCTTCTTCAGGAAGAGCCTGCCGGAAGTTAAGATGACAGGTTGACTTCTAAAGATTGTAGGTGTGTCTAATCATCACCATCCAGGCAGGCTCCCTTGTGGATGGCACTTGGGACTCACTCTGGTCCATGCTCTAAGGGAAAAGAGCTGAGGTCGGACACACCTCTGAGAGCCCCACCTGAAGTTCACCAGGAGCACGAGGAACAAGTCCAGTTCTGGCCTCCCAGCCCCACCTCCAAGCCAGGTGTTGAGAGGCCATTGTTGGGCAAGCCTGTGGCTTTCTGCTAACCACCAGCGCTGTCCCTCCTTCCAGCTCCAGCCTCCCATTTATGCGGCGTCACCTGCGCTCCAGCCCGAGCCCCGTCATCCTGAGGCAGCTGGAGGAGGAAGCCAAAGCTCGGGAAGCAGCCAACACGGTGGACATCACCCAGGTCCTGAGCAAGCTGGACCGTAGGAGCCAACTCAAAAGAGAGCTGCCTCCTAAATAAACCTGCCATCGCTGGGGGTGGCGGGGCAGGCACGTGGGAGAGGCAAGCAAAGGCAGGGTCAGAGTCTAGGAGAGTCCATCCCCGATCAGTGGGGCCGTGGGGTACACAGGTCCAGCCCATATTTCTCTGACCTCCTTCATGGTGGGCTTCCCAATACCACGGCAACGCAAGCTTAGCTCTCTCACCCCAACAACCAAGGGGCAGTGGTGGGGGGAGGTCTCCTGACTCAGTTGCTGTGTGACCACCTATCTCACCATAGGGGGTCCTGGTAGTGAGAACCATAGAGAAAACAGGCTGATTTGTGTCCCACCATTTGCTTTGAAAAATTAAAGAGAAGGCCTCCCTGTCCCCTACTCAGCCCAGGCATAGCTCTTTCGGGCACATTTGTTTCAGATAGCTTAGCAAAGCACCTCATCCCATCTTATCTCTCCAATTTAGACATCGCTTCTAAAGCAGTTGGAGATCCTGCCAAGAGACCAGTTGTAGGGTTTCCCTATAGATGCATGTTACTGCACACCTCTGTTACACCTGCCTGGAAAGGCCCTGCTAAGACATGTCTGTTGAGCTAGTTCTTAGTCCCAATTACGGAGGGTGGGTGGGCCAGAGATAAGAAAATATCAGTAGGGTGCTTACGACAATGCCTGGCATGTAATAAGTGCTCAGTAAAGGCCAGCTGCTGATATTATCAGCACAACAGTTATAATCATCAGCATCACCACCATCATCACCATCCTTACTATCATCCCTACCATCACCAGCATCACCATCACCTGCATCATCATCACCATCATCCTCACCATCACCACCATCAGCAGCAGTACCATCATGATCATCCTCACCATCACTATCATCACCTCATCATCATCATCACCATCCTCCTCACCATCCCTAGTATCTTCATGGTCTGAGAGTACGCGTGTGCTTTCTTATACCTGCCAGTGTTGTCCAATACAGTGATTTGTTATTTTTTAATATGTAGGGCATTTCCTGAGGGATAGCCAAACCATCTTCTCTCCTCTCTCAAAGTCTTGCAGGGTAGCCCTCTAGCTCTCTAGGGACCATGAGGACATATATAAGGGGAGGGGATTAGGGCGTTGGTGTCCTGTCCTCTGCCTGCAGCTCCTGTGAGAGGACTGGCTAGCAATCGTATAGTGACTGGTCAGTCCTTTGGCCCTGAGTTCCATGGCGAAGTAAAGGTCCAAATGCGGAGGAATGTGCTGGGCTGAGGATGAGAGGAGGTGCTCACCCATGTGGATTTTCCTTCCTGGGGCCAACTGCACATTGGCTTTTGGGGACGGTGAGGAAAGGGCGAGTGAGAAGGGACTGGAGGGGGTGACGGCGCACACTGCGTGCTCACCCTGAATGCAGCCCTCTGCTCACCTGCCTGCGCCCAGGAAGTAGGAGTTCAGGTGGCACAGGTCTCATTGGAATCCTCACCCAGTTTCTGGATGGAAAATGAATCACTCCTCTTGCACCATCTGCTTTGCCTTTCATTTCGATCCTGTGATTGTGTCCTCATGTCAACACACCTGCCCATTTCATGCTCCTTCACTTCTCTGGGTTCCCTTGCATAATAAAACAGCAGCACCAAACCAAACCAAGCCACGCTCACCTTCACCGCGTCTCTGTCGTGTCTCATTTCTTCACCATGTGCCTTGCATGCCACTGCTTCGCTGCTTCACACCAATGGAGGGTCTGGTGTGGGCTGGAAGGGCTGGGTCTCCAAGTGCAAGCCCCAGGCCTCTGGGGGAGGAGCGGCCAAGGTCATGGTGGTGGGGGGTAGGAAAGGCATCCTGCTTAGAGTGTCCAGGGCCAGTTGGGCGAATGGCTATTGGCCCAGAAGGAAGGACCTTCTCAGGCCAGGTTAGTGAAGCAGGACAGTGGCCACCTTCCTTACCTGTACTGTCCTTCATCCTGGAAAAGAGAAGGAGCTGGGGAAGGAGTGAGGTGGGGGAGGGGGCACAGAATTGGGGGCGGGTGGAGTTTAGGGAGGGGCTCCTCCTATCTTAAGCTGTGTGATCTTGGTCAAGTTGCATCATCTCCAGGAGCCTCAGTATTTTTACCTGTAAAGTGGGGATTGTAACAGGAGGTTATCACTAATTCTGAGTAAGTAGGGTTCAAGTGAATGGACCAGGTGGGGTGTCCTCAGTCAGTTAGTTGAGAGCGGAGGAGCACTTTGTTGTGTCTTTATTTCTCCTAACGAGGCTTACTTCGTGGGTTTGGTGTTTTAGTTCACTCTCCAGGACCCCATGTCCTCTCCAAACTCACAGGCAATGGGACGGCGACATGCGACATGCATCAGCGCCTCCTCAGGGCCTTTCAGGAAGGGACACAGCCAACCCCGCCCATGACCCTGGGAAGGGAAGAGAGGACAGAGGGGAGCCTCCCTGGACTTGCTGATTTTAATTTTCCAGCTCAGACAGGCTCTCTCAGGCTCCTTTGTCTGAAGCACGCCTGCCCCGCCCTCCCGCCCCGGTGCTACCAGGGAGGTTGAGGCACTTCTCCAACGAGTACCCTCCCCGCCCCGTATTGCCTGCCTCCTTCTCCCGGCTTGTCCAGGTCCCACACGCAGTCTTTCCTCCCAACCACCTGCTCTGCCCGCAGGAGGCACGGGGAGGTGCTGGGTCCAGGCCATCCATCCCCCAGGTGTGCCTGTGGACACAGGTAGGGGTTCAGGTCAGCGTGGGTGGCCTCAGGCCTGGAAGAGTCAGCCAGGCACCAGCTGGGGCTTCTCCTGCCGCCTCTGTCACTCTAGTAAGATGTTTCCGATGCCTCCAGCCCTGAGCGTGGGAACCAAGGATAGAGAAGGGATGACGGTGGGTGGCAGGTACTAAGCATTGCTCACTGGGGGACTGGGCCTGAGGGGGGTTGGAAATTCACCTGGCCGCACCCAGCATCCCAGGCCTGGAGGATGACCAGTCTGTGCCTTGGGATGCAGCGCCCACGTCTGGGGATCATGGCCAGGGCTTGGGACAGGGCTTGGCAGAAGGCCTGTGTCTGTGCCATCGTCACAGGTGGCTTTGGGGGCCCTTCCCAACTTCCCAGGTGAAGCCACACCAGACCTGTGCTTTGGGCACGGGCAGGGGCCGAGTTATCAGGGGGCAGCCCCTGTGCCCATCGACCAGCCACCCCACTCACTCTGAGCTCTCTTTCCTTCCCTGCAGCCTGGCCAGCACACTGCTCCCAGCCCCCACCTGGCCGTGTACACGGGGACTTGCGTGCCCCCCTCTCCTTCCAGCCCCTTCTCCTCCTCCTGCCGCTCCCCCAGGAAGCCCTTCCCCTCGCCAGGCCGCTTCATGCGGAGGCCCAGCAGCACCGTCTGCCCCTCGCCCATCACGGTGGCCGTGGAAGGCTCGGAGCAGAAGGGCGAGGCCGGGGGGTCCAGTGCCGGCCCAGGACCCTCCAATGCAGACACCAGCGAGGCCTCCGCCGACTGCCCCTGGCCCCGGCCCCCACCCAGGGCCCCTCTCAAGGCCCGCATGGCTGTGTCCTTCAACAGTTTTCTGAGACGAGGCTGTTTGGCCTCCCCCGTCTTCGCCAGGCTCTCGCCCAGGTGCCCCCCTGTGTCCCATGGGAAGGTGCAGCCCCTAGGGGATGTGGGTCAGCAGCTGCCACGGCTGAAATCCAGGAGAGTGACAAAGTGAGAACCAGTGGGGGGTGCTATGTGTGTGCATGCACGTGTGTGGGGATGTGAGCACATGCCTGTTGGTACACATGTGTATGGCGTGCATGTCTGTGGGTGTGCACATACCTGCATGTGTGCATATGTCTGTGGGCATGTGCATGTGTGTATGGCGTGCAGATGTTTGTGGGTGTGCACATATGTGCATGTGTGCATATGCCTGTGGGTGTGTGCATGTGTGTGTACATATCTGTGGGTGTGTGCATGTGTGTATACTAGTATATGTGCATATGTCTGTGTGTGTGCATGTTGTGTGTGTGTGTGTGTGTGTACACATATGTCTCTGGGTGTGCATGTCTACTGATTCTTTCCATTTGGTGTTCCCCCTGCACTCCCCATACTGGCTTTCCTCTTGTGTCTGAAGCTTTTTCCAGATCAAAATGGATGTGCCTGTGGAGAGTGGCACCTACCTGATGGACGCGGAGGACACGGGGCCAGGAGCCTCGGGCGACCAGGCCATCAAGAAGGAGGTCATCTGCCCCTGGGAGAGCCTGGCCTAGGGCAGAGCTGGCCGAGTCAGGGGCCTGGGACCAGCAGGTGCTCCCGGCAGACTCTGCTGGGTGAGGCAAGGGACACGCTCTCGAACCTCAGTGCATTAAGATCATACTTGGGGGCCGAGAGATGAGATGACGTGGACTTGGGGGAAGCGTGCTTTGTCTGGGCTCCAGTGGCCAATTCCCTCCCACCCTCTGACCTTCCCCCTTTGGCATGTGGATAAAACGACTTTACTCGCTGCCTTAAAACCGATAAAAGGTTAACTTGTAAGAGTCTCTGGGAGTGAAATGTTAGTGTGTGTCAGGTTTTCTTGGTTATTTAGGAGCTATCAAGGGGCTTGTGCGTGTTGCTTTAGCCATGGAGCTCGCCAGGAAGAGGCCCTAGAGCAGTACTCATGGGGAACCTATGACACGCGTGTCAGAGGTGACATGCGAACTCATTTTTTGGGTTGATTTTTCTTTGTTAAATGGCATTTAAATATATAAAATAAATATCAAAAATATAAGTCTTTGTTTTACTATGGTTGCAAATATAAAAAAATTTCTATATGTGACACGGCACCAGAGTTAAGTTAGGGTTTTTCAAAATGCTGACACGCCGAGCTCAAAAGGTTCACCATCACTGCCCTAGAGTGTGGCACCCCCCAGGAAGGGGGCTGGGGAAAGGCGCCCTTCTAGAATGCCGGGTGTGCTGCCCAGACCCACCAAGAAGCAGATGCCAAGGCGGGGTTAGGTGGGCAAGGGCTCTCTTGGGGAAACACCTGGGAAGAATCAAGAGTAGGAGCTGGAGAAGCGGCGAGGGCCTTCGGACCATGACGCTGGGCTGACCTCCGGGGAGGGAGAAGTGGGCGGGGGGAGTCTCGGATGGAAGCCCAGTTCCAAGAAAGTTTCGGCCAGGCTGTTGGGGTGTCCCTCAGCCAGAGCCACTGTCGGAGGCGTCCTGTGTCTTGTCCTCTGCATTAGTGCCCTCACCAGGCAAGGCCATTGGCTGGGACCACCTGTGGGAAGCCTGGCCCTGAGCAGGAGGTCTGAGCGCACACGCGTGCCTGCTGTACCCATCCAGTGGGCCCTCTGCAGGGCCGGGCCTCGGTGTGCCCCTCCCAACTCTTCTCCAGACATTCACGCTACAAGTCTTCATCGAGCCCCTGCCGTGTGGCAGGCACTGTGCTAGGCCCCGGGGATGCAGCAGTGACTGTTGCTGCATGGAACTCATCTAGAGCAGTGGTTCTCCACCGGGGACAACATTGCCCCTGGGGGACACTGGGCTGTGCCTGGAGACAGTCTCGGTTGTCAGGACTGGCTGGGGAGCTACCCGCATCGAGTGGGGAGAGGCCAGGGATGCTGTGAACACTCCAGCGTGCGCAGGATGGCCCCTATCCTTCCACGACAAAAGGTTACCTGGTCTGATATCGGGGGGCCCCTGACGAGAACCCTGAGATAAACGATAGGCCACGCCCTGCCCTGCGATGCTGAACAGGTTCCTGGTGTCATCTGTTTCTGCCCACAGCCCTGCGGCGTTGCCCGAGGGGTCCTGCCGGGATCCGGTTTGGACTGGACAGTGGGTTGAGATGAAGGGTTACAGGGCGAGTAAAATGTTTCCTGAAGGACGCATGGGAAGTCACCCTGAGAAAAAGAAGTTCAAGGGGTTTGCCCAACCACTCATTATGCCCCACCCCCTTTCATCCTCCACTTCATCGGAATTCAATTAGCAGATAAGGGCCCCATATTTGTTTTTAACCTCGACAACTGACCTCCCTTAGCCCATAAATACTGGGGCCGCTGAGTCACCCGTTGGCGCACTTCTAGGTAAGAGTGGCGGGTAGGTGCCTGGCCAAAGCCTGGGCTGGCCGACCCTGCAGGAAACACAGGCTTTGAGGTTTAGATGCTACAGAACCCACTCCCGTGGGCTCACAAAGGTCACTCACCTTGGGGTCAGGAACCTTTCTCCCAGAATAAGTGACATAGGCCGGGTCCTTCTTGGAAGGTGACGGGGCCGGTGAACGTGATGCCTTTTTGCGAAGCTGCGCTGAAATGAGATTGAAGGAAAGCAATCCATACCCTTCGTCGACAGCGACAGTGTCCGGGAAGAAGGAGAAGCTCAGCCCCGAACCCGCACAGAGGGTGGCAGGGCTCCACTCCTGCGCCGCCAGGGTCCTAAAGAGGAGCTGCGCCCACGTGGATCTCAGTAGCAATGACCAGGGCCTGAAGGAGTCACCGGTTGGATCAGCTGAGGCCCAGGCTAAAGTGCAGTGACAAAGACCCCAGAGGGAAGGAAGTTCCAACATGAAGGAGTTTCTGCCTCGTTACCTCATTGTCCAAAGGCCAGGAGCATCGGGGCGAGTGGAGTCCGGGGAGGGGAGGGAACCCAGGGCCCGGTTACTTTTGTTGTTGTTGCTAATCCTCACCCGAGCATATTTTTCCATTGATTTTTTTAAAAAGAGAGAGTGGAAGAGAGAGGGAAAGACAGAGAGAAACATCGATGTATGAGAAACACATCAATTGGTTGCCTCCTGTACGAGCCCCGACCAGGGCCCAGGCTGGGGAGGAGCCTGCAACCAAGGTACCTGCCCTTGACCGGAATCGAACCTGGGACCCTCAGGTCCCTAGGCCGACGCTCTATCCACTGAGCCAAACTGGCTAGGGTGGGACTGGTATATTTTAATCTCGTTTCTCCACATGTATATATGCAGGCACCCAGGGCCCCACGTTACACCCTGGCATGTGTGTGCATGGAGCATGTGTGTGGAGTGTCTGAGGAAGCCCCCTAGTCACTGGTCTGATGATTCTCCTTTGGGGAACCTGGAAAGGCCCCGTGTCCAGGACACACCCAGGCCAGTCATGTCAGAGTCTCTGGAGGTGGACAGAGGACCAGGATTTGTTTATTTTTTTGCAGCCTTTCCCACAGCCTCACTCCCGCCCACGTGGTGAGCACCTCATTGGAACCTCGGCAAGTGCTTGGTAGCTACTGTTGTATTCTCAGCCTTTGGGGCCACCGCAGAAATAAAGACAGAAAACAGCCTGTTTTCATAGCCCACCACGTTGGTCAGTGTCAGGGATGTGCTCACGTTCCTTCCGGTGAAAACCTACCAGCAGAACAGTGTCTCCCGGAGTGGGAGGGGACACTGGGTGGCCCTCTTGAGGCTGTGACGTCGTTGAGCCCGAGAGGAGACCGTGCTGTCCCTGGGTCAGTTGCCAGGAAAGAGAAGAAGAAGGATTTTTAGAGTCTGTACTGGCCAAGTACTGCGAGGTCCCTGGGTGCCCAGAAGGTGAGCTGGGGGCAGGGAGGGGACAGGGGACTTCTGCTCACCTGGGCCTCCGAGACCCAGCCCTCTGCTCTGGGCACCATCTCTTCCTTGTGCTTCACCAGAAGAGGGAGTCCGAGGCTCACGGATCCCCAAAGGGAGGTGGCTGGGATTTCCCCTTAAAGATGCAGAGCCTGTGCCGGAGAAGAAGGAAGAGGGCCTTAGAGACAGGTGCTCTCCTCTGTGTTGGGGGTGGGGGCAGTGGGAGGGACTGTGAGCGTTGTCCCCCTGTCCTCAGCCCCAGAGCCCCTGAAGCTGGGCGAGGTGGGGACCTTGGGAGAGAGGAGCCTCTCACTGGGCCTCGGGCTCCTGGCAATGACCTTGGCTGCGGGGCCCCTGCAGGGTCCTCCAGGCTGCTGAGCCCCATGGGGCCGAGGGGCCGATGCTCTCTGTTCCTGATGGCTGAGGGTGAGGGTGGGACTCTCTGCAGAAAAACTCCCGCGGAACGAAAACTTCTCCCTCGCCTGCGGACCGCAGCCAATAGAATCCCTCCCTTTTGGGTCCTCTCTTTGGGTTAAGCTCTGACTCCTAGGACTAGAAACCCATAAACTTCATCCTTCACTCCTTGGCCTGAGGGATGTGCCAGCTCCTGGGGCACCCAGAGGGCCCACAGTGGGGTGACATATAAGGGTAACAAATGGGGTAAACAAGCTTTTCTGCTGACGGGAGGGACCTGTGTATGGCCCTATGACGGACCGAGGGAGGGGCAGCTCAATTTCTTCTCAGGAAGTAGCAAGAGGGTGTTCAAAGGCCCCTGTGAGGGGGAGGCGTATATCAGGGGCAGCTGGGTTGGGTTTAGGTGCTGGTGTGTCAGCATCTGCCACGTCCAACGAGGGGAGGGAGTCTGCCCACGTGCATGGAGGTGTGTGAGCATGGCTGCGTGTGTGCACACGTGTATATGCAGGCACCCAGGGCCACACGTTATAATCCTGACATGTGTGTGCATGGAGTATGTGCCTGGGGCGTCTGAGAAAGTCTTGCTGGTCCCAGATTGTGGCCGTGTGTGCTGAGGAGCGTGTGGTAGGGAGGCCAGAACCCTATGAAATTAATCTCAGCACACGTACCTTCCACGACATGCAAAAGAACAGGGCGAGGTACTATCCGGAAGGCACAGCGTGAAGACGACGTCCACCTCTGTACGGAGCCGACAGAAAACATCTTCTGGGATTCAGTTCCTGGAGGCCTAGGGGACAAGGACAAAGCAAACGTATCTCAGCCAGCAGGGAGCAGGGCTGCCCATTTGGAGAGCACAGCGAGGCTCACCCCCAGGAGGGCCCAAACCCTGGCCACGTCCTTGGCTTCCGTTGTGGATGCTATTCATCAGGTGTCAGGAAGACCCAGAGTACAGCGTTCTCGGCTTTCCTGGCAGAGTCCCCAGCCCTGGTCCTTCTCTGTGCGACTCCTCCGTCCCCTCATTCTTCTTTGGCTTCAAGGCAAAGAGACATTGAAGCATCGTAGCAACATGGCACCCCGGGGATTTTCAGCCAAGTTTCTGGACGACCGGAGTGCAGGCCCCTGTCACTGTGTCATGCTTATTGAATTTTATTTTGGGGCGTATTACTCTCATCTCAATAATTTTCCACGATGGGAAGTTCTAAAGGGTGGGAGGCCTGTCTGCAGCCCCACCTTTGTACAGAACGTAAGATAAGCACCACACCCAGCTTGGGGCCTGGGGTTTGAAGATGCAACGCCTATGAAGATAAA